CAAAACCCTCTCTATATACTGATAATCAAGTGGTTCTTAACACACTCAAGATCTGGTATCAATTATCGACACGATACTATTATGTCCACTGTTCTTGGGGTAAATCTTGAACCTGTCCTCCGATTGCTATATTTGGGATTCCTGACCCCTTACTTACACTTACCTCTACACAAAAGAACATTATAGCTTTCACATCCTTACTAGCAAGACGTTCCTTATTGTTGCATTGGAAGTCTGTTAAATATCCGTCTATTTTTTTTTTTAAACTTGAGAAAATTAAATACACGTTGAGAGGATGTACGGTCAAATTTTTCCACAAATGGCAACCCTTTATTCCTATTTCACAAGGTGAAATTCAATAATATATATATAATTCTTTAATATAACAGTGAGTATAAGTGTGTCCCTGTGTTCATGTATAACAGTAAAGTATGATGCAGCAGTGAACAGTACCAGGATCATAGTCTCCAAGCTCTGATTGGATGGTGTAGGAGCCAAGGACTGTGTGCGTTGCGAACGAACATGGAAGACGTCCAGAAACTATATCCTGTCTGAGCTGAAGACACAGGAAGTACCTACAGACACATAGTTACAAAGACAGGCAGACATCACCTGTACTGTATACAAACAGATAGAAAATAGAAAATATATACAAGTGGAGAGCGATTGTTAAAAGGTGAGTTAACTTACCTGGTGATGTCCTCAGACAGCTGAGTCGGGTTAGGAGGGTAAAACTTCACATTGAAGGAGAAGTTCCAGGGAACGCCTGACAGACAGAAAGCAGGGCAGTTAACCCCATATAACGAGGTAACATGTTAACATGTTAGAGTTTAACATGTTAGAGTTTAACAAGTTAGAGTTTAACAAGTTAGGGTTTAACATGTTAGAGTTTAACATGTTAGAGTTTAACATGTTAGAGTTTAACATGTTAGGGTTTAACAAGTTAGAGTTTAACAAGTTAGAGTTTAACATGTTAGAGTTTAACATGTTAGAGTTTAACATGTTAGAGTTTAACAAGTTAGAGTTTAACAAGTTAGAGTTTAACATGTTAGAGTTTAACAAGTTAGAGTTTAACATGTTAGAGTTTAACATGTTAGAGTTTAACATGTTAGAGTTTAACAAGTTAGAGTTTAACAAGTTAGAGTTTAACATGTTAGAGTTTAACATGTTAGAGTTTAACAAGTTAGAGTTTAACATGTTAACATGTTAGAGTTTAACATGTTAACATGTTAGAGTTTAACATGTTAGAGTTTAACAAGTTAACATGTTAGAGTTTAACATGTTAACATGTTAGAGTTTAACATGTTAGAGTTTAACAAGTTAGAGTTTAACAAGTTAGAGTTTAACATGTTAGAGTTTAACATGTTAGAGTTTAACAAGTTAGAGTTTAACAAGTTAGAGTTTAACATGTTAGAGTTTAACAAGTTAGAGTTTAACATGTTAGAGTTTAACAAGTTAGAGTTTAACATGTTAGAGTTTAACATGTTAGGGTTTAACAAGTTAGAGTTTAACAAGTTAGAGTTTAACATGTTAGAGTTTAACAAGTTAGAGTTTAACATGTTAGAGTTTAACATGTTAGAGTTTAACAAGTTAGAGTTTAACAAGTTAGAGTTTAACATGTTAGAGTTTAACATGTTAGAGTTTAACATGTTAACATGTTAGAGTTTAACATGTTAACATGTTAGAGTTTAACATGTTAACAAGTTAGAGTTTAACATGTTAACATGTTAGAGTTTAACATGTTAACATGTTAGAGTTTAACATGTTAACATGTTAGAGTTTAACATGTTAACATGTTAGAGTTTAACAAGTTAACATGTTAGAGTTTAACATGTTAACATGTTAGAGTTTAACATGATAGAGTTTAACAAGTTAACATGTTAGAGTTTAACATGTTAGAGTTTAACATGTTAACATGTTAGAGTTTAACATGATAGAGTTTAACAAGTTAACATGTTAGAGTTTAACATGTTAGAGTTTAACATGTTAACATGTTAGAGTTTAACATGTTAGAGTTTAACATATTAACATGTTAGAGTTTAACATGATAGAGTTTAACAAGTTAACATGTTAGAGTTTAACATGTTAGAGTTTAACATGTTAACATGTTAGAGTTTAACATGATAGAGTTTAACAAGTTAACATGTTAGAGTTTAACATGTTAGAGTTTAACATGTTAACATGTTAGAGTTTAACATGATAGAGTTTAACATGTTAACATGTTAGAGTTTAACATGTTAGAGTTTAACATGTTAACATGTTAGAGTTTAACATGATAGAGTTTAACAAGTTAACATGTTAGAGTTTAACATGTTAGAGTTTAACAAGTTAACATGTTAGAGTTTAACATGATAGAGTTGTTTAAACAAACATAAAAACTGACCTCTGACCTGCTTCTTCATCTCCTTCATAGGATCCAACCAGTTCTGCAAGAGAGAGTATAGATCAGACAGACAGACGGACAGGCAGACAGACAGACAGACAGACAGACAGACAGACAGACAGACAGACAGACACACAGACAGACAGACAGACACACAGACAGACATACAGACACAAAGACAGACAGACAGACACACAGACAGACACACAGACAGACAGACAGACAGACAGACAGACAGACAGACACACAGACAGACAGACAGACACACAGACAGACAGACACACAGACAGACACACAGACAGACAGACAGACACACAGACACACAGGCACACAGACAGGCAGACAGACAGGCAGACAGACAGACAGACATACAGACACAAAGACAGACAGACAGACAGACAGACAGACAGACAGACAAACAGACACAAAGACAGACAGACAGACAGACAGACACACAGACAGACACACAGACAGGCAGACAGACAGACAGGTACCTTGTTGTTGTCCGCGTCTCTGAAGGACAGACAGAAGTAGTCTCTCTCCAGCAGGTTGATGTGTTCACACACTCGGTCAATGAGCTGCTGACCTCGAGCTCGTTTCTGAAGAAAACAGGAAGTAGTTCCAGCGTAAAGCTAAAGGATGTTTAACTCATGGTGGATTGATGTTGACTCTTTGACTCCACCCCCCCTCACCTCTATGATGCAGGTGAAGAGCGAGCCGTCCAGTAGGGTCACTTTGGTCTGCATGCTTCTGAAGCTCAGAGTTCTGGCTGGAGAGCGAACGATGCGACTGCTGGATGACAGGTGACTGGTCGAGTCCTCAGCCAATGAGCTTTGAGCTTGGCTCTGAGGTAGCGTGCCCCCCCCTCCCTGTAAATACAGGAAGTGATGAGACGTCTCATATTTCCTGTATAACTTCTACACGTCATAAATTCAGGTTTGTTTACCTGTTTAGGTGTGGAGTGGGCGGTGGCTTCAGGAAAAGACTCCGCCTCTTTGGGCAGGGCTTCCTGTGGCTCACCTGTCTCCATCGTCATGGTGATTCACCTAAGAAGAATTAATTACAAGGTTACCATCAAAACGCTGCCTGCTGATTGGCTCCTCATGTTGGGGAGTTACACAGACATTGAGCAAAGACCCGCCACCTAACCCTAACCCGTGTGTCTGGTGTATTGTACTGGTGGGGTTCTGATGGTCTGGTGGGGTACAGATGATCTGGTGGGGTACAGATGGTCTGGTGGGGTTCTAACCCTAACCCTAACCCGTGTGTCCGGTTGTATTGTACTGGTGGGGTTCTGATGGTCTGGTGGGGTACAGATGGTCTGGTGGGGTTCTGATGGTCTGGTGGGGTACAGATGGTCTGGTGGGGTTCTGATGGTCTGGTGGGGTACAGATGGTCTGGTGGGGTACAGATGGTCTGGTGGGGTACAGATGGTCTGGTGGGGTTCTGATGGTCTGGTGGGGTACAGATGGTCTGGTGGGGTTCTGATGGTCTGGTGGGGTTCTGATGGTCTGGTGGGTACAGATGGTCTGGTGGGGTGCTGATGGTCTGGTGGGGTTCTGATGGTCTGGTGGGGTACAGATGGTCTGGTGGGGTACAGATGGTCTGGTGGGGTAAAAATGGTCTGGTGGGGTACAGATGGTCTGGTGGGGTTCTGATGGTCTGGTGGGGTACAGATGGTCTGGTGGGGTACAGATGGTCTGGTGGGGTACAGATGGTCTGGTGGGGTTCTGATGGTCTGGTGGGGTACAGATGGTCTGGTGGGGTTCTGATGGTCTGGTGGGGTTCTGATGGTCTGGTGGGGTACAGATGGTTTGGTGGGGGTGGTCTGGTGGGGTTCTGATGGTCTGGTGGGGTGATGGTCTGGTGGGGTACAGATGGTCTGGTGGGGTACAGATGGTCTGGTGGGGTTCTGATGGTCTGGTGGGGTTCTGATGGTCTGGTGGGGTACAGATGGTCTGGTGGGGTTCTGATGGTCTGGTGGGGTACAGATGATCTGGTGGGGTACAGATGGTCTGGTGGGGTTCTAACCCTAACCCTAACCCGTGTGTCCGGTTGTATTGTACTGGTGGGGTTCTGATGGTCTGGTGGGGTACAGATGGTCTGGTGGGGTACAGATGGTCTGGTGGGGTTCTGATGGTCTGGTGGGGTACAGATGGTCTGGTGGGGTTCTGATGGTCTGGTGGGGTTCTGATGGTCTGGTGGGGTTCTGATGGTCTGGTGGGGTACAGATGGTTTGGTGGGGTACAGATGGTCTGGTGGGTTCTGATGGTCTGGTGGGGTACAGATGGTCTGGTGGGGTACAGATGGTTTGGTGGGGTACAGATGGTCTGGTGGGGTTCTGATGGTCTGGTGGGGTTCTGATGGTCTGGTGGGGTACAGATGGTCTGGTGGGGTACAGATGGTCTGGTGGGGTTCTGATGGTCTGGTGGGGTACAGATGGTCTGGTGGGGTACAGATGGTCTGGTGGGGTACAGATGGTCTGGTGGGGTACAGATGGTCTGGGGTAGAGCTGAAGCTATCGGGGTAGCACAACAGTAGATTTCAGGGGTCTCAGGTCTTTGACAGACAGAACCACAGGGTCCAGTAATGTTCAAATATATATATATAGAATATATAGAATATAAAATCATTTTAAACACTTTATATTGATGTGTTCAAATTGAAATTCACTTTTATCAGCAATTAGAAACGTGCAGGTTATCCTTCAGTCTATCTACGGGGGGGGGGGGGGGTTATTTATTTATTTATACTAATAGAAGATAATATTACTTTAAGTACAGATACAGAAAGTGACGCCATGCGGTAGTTTTTTTATGTTTTATTTCCGGTGTATCCTGCAGCAGGAAACACCCCGCTGCTGCAACACACACACACACACACACACACACACACACACACACACACACACACACACACACACACACACACACACACACACACATTGAGCTGCAGTGTGATAAAGCAGAAAGATGCTCTCTCTCTCTCTCTCTCTCTCTCTCTCTCTCGTTTCTAAACTGAAAACATTTTGAACGTGACGTAACGTGACGTCATTGATCGGATCTATCGGTGATCGATTATGTTTATAAATCATCATATTTACCTGTCCTCGTGCAGGACGCTTGCCCTCTTCCTCCCGGTAACGGACGCTTTTTTGTCTTTCTACGTCATCACTCGACAACTCACGGCTCCGCAGCAGCAAGGAGGTGACGTCATGACGCACGGCGCGCTAACAGCTGTTTGTGTTTTTTTTTTCTTTAATCCATCGTTGGGACAGAGTGAGGAGCAGGGCGTGGTTTACATATTGTATTACTTTATATTATTTTATAATAATATTATATTATAGAAGGAAGAGGGAGGAGGATCATTTTTTTAATCAATGTAATAAATAAATAAATATGAATGTTAGAAGCCTGAGTCACCCATCTGTCCCTGCAGGGGGCGCTGGAGTGCCATCGATGGCGGTCTCCATGCTGGAAATGCTGTCTCAGTCTAACTTTCAGTCAACCTAACGACAGGCTGAGAGCTGGAGCTGAGGCGGGTTTTAAACCTCCTGACAAACCGTTACACCGCGCCCACCTGTCAATCAGGTCAGCTACACGCCTTATTGTGAATAACTCTTATCCTTCATCAAATCAAAACTGATGAGTCATCAAAACATTCACCCCCCCGCACAGTGTGTGTCCATCCAGACTTGAGCTAATCACACCTATTTGGTACTGAACCCATGCAGTATGTGTGTGTGTGTGTGTGTGTGTGTGTGTGTGTGTGTGTGTGTGTGTGTGTGTGTGTGTGTGTGTGTGTGTGTGTGTGTGTGTGTTAGATACTCACCATTAGATAATGTCCAGAAGTGATCCGGACAGAAGAAAAGATAAATAGAAGACATTACATTACCTTAAGTCATGAATATTTACGCAGTTTATACAGAAACCAGACAGAAAATGTTTTTCTATTTCTATTTGTCAGCTCGTGTACTGACTAGAACCAGGAAAAGGGACCACATTACTCCTGTGTTGGCTTCTCTGCACTGGCTCCCTATACAGTCTAGAATAGAATTTAAAATCCTTCTTCTCACTTACAAAGCTCTAAATGGCCAGACACCATTTTATCTTAAGGAGCTACTAGTACCATACTGTCCCTCGAGAGCGTTGCGATCCCAGAATGCAGGCCTACTAGTGGTACCTACAGTCTCTAAATGTACTATGGGAGGTAGAGCCTTCAGTTATCAGACCTGCTAGTGGTACAGTCTCTAAATGTACTATGGGAGGTAGAGCCTTCAGTTATCAGGCCTGCTCGTGGTACCTACGGTCTCTAAATGTACTATGGGAGGTAGAGCCTTCAGTTATCAGACCTGCTCGTGGTACCTACGGTCTCTAAATGTACTATGGGAGGTAGAGCCTTCAGTTATCAGACCTGCTCGTGGTACCTACGGTCTCTAAATGTACTATGGGAGGTAGAGCCTTCAGTTATCAGGCCTGCTCGTGGTACAGTCTCTAAATGTACTATGGGAGGTAGAGCCTTCAGTTATCAGGCCTGCTCATGGTACAGTCTCTAAGTGTACTATGGGAGGTAGAGCCTTCAGTTATCAGGCCTGCTCGTGGTACAGTCTCTAAGTGTACTATGGGAGGTAGAGCCTTCAGTTATCAGGCCTGCTCGTGGTACAGTCTCTAAGTGTACTATGGGAGGTAGAGCCTTCAGTTATCAGGCCTGCTCGTGGTACAGTCTCTAAGTGTACTATGGGAGGTAGAGCCTTCAGTTATCAGGCCTGCTTGTGGTACAGTCTCTAAATGTACTATGGGAGGTAGAGCCTTCAGTTATCAGGCCTGCTCGTGGTACCTACGGTCTCTAAATGTACTATGGGAGGTAGAGCCTTCAGTTATCAGGCCTGCTCGTGGTACCTACAGTCTCTAAATGTACTATGGGAGGTAGAGCCTTCAGTTATCAGGCCCCTCTCCTTTTGAATCATCTACCAATCAGGGTACGGGAGGTAGACACCCTCTGTACTTTTAAGAATGGAGCTTGTTGGTAAAGCTTATCAGTAGGGCTGGTTCAGGTATTGACCAGCTTCTGGTTATGCTGCTAAAGACTTAGACCAACGGGGGACCTGGCACCTTATACTACTCACTCTCTCTCTCTTTCTCTATCTGTAAATCTTCATGTTCTATGTATGTTACTAACCACATATTTTCCTGTGAGCTCCTGTGCTCGATATGTTCCTCTGGATCGTTGGTGGGTATGGTCTGCTCTCACAACCCCTGATTCCAATTGTTAAACTATTATTATCAACCTTTCTTCTCTTGGATATATTGGACAGGTTCAGGTTTAGGTTCAGGTTCAGGTTCAGGTTCAGGTTCAGGTTCAGGTTATTTTATTTGTACCCGTAGGTAGATTTGTTTGCAGCCAGCAAGATGGAAATCCATCATGACACACAGATTACAAGATAAATGCAACAATGAATACCACATAAGAGAGAAGGAGATATAAACTCAAACATGTAAAGACAGGAAGTGATAGAAGCACTCAAGGTTCCACCAATCAGGGCATAGGTGAGAGAAATCTCCACCAATAAGATCAATTAAAAACACAAGTAAATAATTTTTCCAGGCAGGGTACAAATACGTTTTGGCCATAAATAAATAAAGTGTTTGTGCAAACATGGCTACAGCTTTTTCTGTGCAGTGATAGCAGCAGGAACAAAGCTGTTTTTGCACCTTGGGACTAAAGCCTCCGTCCAGAAAGGAGGAGCTGAAACGCTCTATAGAGGGTGGGAATCATAATTTAAAACAACTGTTTTGTATACAGAAACACGGGGAAGGGCTGTGACCCACCAATCAGATGACTGGATCATTTTACAATCTGATTTAAGGAGTTTTTCTCTTTTAAAGAGACCGAAACATGATACAAAAGAAAAAGAGTGATTCAATAAAAGCACTCATTATGGTTCAATGAACGTGAAATGGGGACATGGGGGGAAGGGACCGTGGTGGAGCCATCGATTGAGAGGGAGAATTATGGGTGGATCTGATGATGACTTCTGACTCGTCACAGTTAAGTCTGAGGATTTTATTCCAAACATGCAGTCGGTGAGGACAGACTGAAGGGGTCCAAGAAGTGAACCTTGGGGAACACCTTGGGAGAGGGGAGCAGTTTGTTATGCTGATGAATTGATATCTGTCAGAGAGGTTATGAGCCAGGAGAGAGCACAGCCGGTGATTTTGAGGGAAGAGAAGGAAGGAATGGTTAATGGTGAGAAATGTTGTGCTCAGCTCGAGTAGGATGAGGAAGTTAACGTTTCCAGGAATAAACGAGTACAAAATCAAGAAAATCATCTTTCCCAAACTGATCCTGAATTAAAAGAAACCAAAGTGTGACCCTTCAGGGCCTCCGTACACTCTACACTGACCTGTTTACAGTGTGTGTGCGTGAGCTGAAGCTCTGCAGTTTAGTGTGTCAACATCAGTCGACATGTTTACTGATGATGGACGACAGTCAGAGCCCCACACACACACACACACACACACACACACACACACACACACACACACATACAGTGAACAGTTTACCTGTAGAAGAGCGGCTCACTGATGATGATGATGAAGGTTAAAGTCTGTTTAGATGAGTACTGATGCCTTTGTCTCTCTCTCTCTCTCTCTCTCTCTCTCTCTTGTTCTCTTGCTCGCCCAATGGTTTTAATGGATTAGTGTTTATGTTACTTGGACACATGAGGCCCCTCCCACAAGGATTAACCCCCCCTCCCTCCCCACACAGCTGTCATTCACAGGATGAGGGCGGGGCCTAGAGCTGTGAGAGTCTCACCGTCATGCTGCAAAGGATTATGGGATATGTGTTCACATTAAATTATTGATTTGTTGATTTGTCAGTAATTGATTTGAAGCTACTCTGAACGCACACACATAAAACCTCACGTGTTTGTGTGTTTGTGAGTGTGTGTGTATGTCAGTATTTCCTCTCAGGATGTACACACTCATAGTGACCAGCAGGGGGAGACACACATTCAGTCTAAACAACTTCAACTTTTAGCTGAAAGTTGAAATTATTATTGTTGAAATTTTGTTTCCAGCCAGGTGAAAACGATATGAATATCAATATAAAAATATATATAAATAATATAAATATAAATATAAATATAAATATAAATTTAAATATAGAGACACAGGCACATAGACTAAACAACAAACACTGTTTCAGACTCAGAAACAAGATGCTGAAAATATCAGAGATTTCGAGATTTCTTCCCAAACTCCAGTGACAAAAGATTTACTTGGGCAAGGTGTTACAGCTTATTGCGCACAAGGGGGCAGTAAAGAGCTTTCAGAGGATGAGAGAAGAATAAGAAGATGAAGATTTACTTTATTGACTGAATATTGAAATTAATTGAAATTTCAGTTTTTACACTGTGTAGTCATGCAACACACACAGGCTGAAGTATATACACACATGCACACAAACAGGATCCTATGGACATGCACTAAGGGAGAGATGTCAGCAGCCCACAGTGGGCGCTCCTGAGCTGGTGGTGGGGAGGGCCCTGCTCAAGGGCACCTCGGCAGTGCTCAGAAGGTGATCAGGCACCTCTCCAGCTACCAGACCAACTTCCAAACGTGGTTCCCAACTTCCCAACTACAAATATATTTGAAGCTACACTCAGCTACATCCTGAGAGGAAATACTGACATACACACACTCACAAACACACGTGAGGTTTTATGTGAATATAGAGATTCCTCCAAATGAGCCTCCAGGACCCTGACTAAGAAGGAATAACGAGAATCTTTTTATGTGCTTAACACAAAAATAATTTATACAATATACAGTTACCTCTTAAACACAAAATCAGGAGGGGCATTGTTGATTAAGGAGAAAGTAAATGAGTGGAAAACTACAAACTCTCTTGTTTGGAGGGTTGTTGATTGGGTTCTTTCATCACTCCTCAGCAGACTCAAACAGCTGGAGGAAATGTAAATCATTTTCAGATATTTTGGTTTTCAAAACAACTACTGAAAAAATATTCAGCAGACCCTCAAGAAGGTTTTCCTTTGGTTTTAATGTTTTATACCTTTGTAATATTACATAACAGATCAACTTTAGAGAATGACAGTAAAAAGCCATAAGTCGTAACCCTGCTTGACTAAGGAATGGGTAGAAACTCACATATTCACTAAGATTATAACAAAATAAATTCACCAACATGTGGTCCAAGTGGGTCAACTTTATCTCCAAAGGACTGAAATCAGACACTAGCAGCACTTCTCCCACCTCCTCTGATGTAGGAAGGACACGTCTTTATTCAGAGCTCTTTTCATTTTCATATCTTTCTTTGTCTTTAAATCTCATTTGCACATTGTCCTGGACTCTTCCTAATACCAGCAAATGCCGTGTTTTCTTTTTGTCTGTTTGTAATCCACATCAAAGATAAAGGATTCAGGAGATTTAGAAATGGTACTGAACCCTGGGATGCTGTGAACTTTGTTAAACGAGCATGACTTGAATGTTTCTTCTGGATGCCAACAAAAAAGTGTTCAAGTTCAAACAGCATCATTAAAGCAAAGTGTAGAGGATCTGTTGATGAGGGGCGAGGTCAGGGCCTCAGGTCTCTGATGGACCCAGAACACAGGTCCAGTGTCTCTCTCATGGTAATGTCACTGCACAATAACATGGTGATGTTTATTTGTTTCATGTTAACAAATAGTACACACACATTTTCAGAGATCTGAGTGACGTTAAGTGACACAGATAGTTAATTGGTCAATTAGCTATCTTATTGGAGGGGCGTGGCCTCATCTGCCTATTAAAGTTTGTGACAAGTCAGCACATCCGCCAATTGGCCGAGGAAGCTGTCAGTCACACGGTGGGCGGGGCATGTGAGCTCCTGCTGGAGAGTCGGAGGGAAGAAAAGTTCTACATCCTTCAGTTTGTCTGAAAAACACCAAAGAAGAAGAGAGAGGAGCGCGAGGGACAGAGGAAGAAGAAGAAAACTAAGTTGGAAGATTTATTTATCTGTATTTGTTTCTTACGGATTCAAACCTTCGGACAGATAGACAGGACGACAGACAGACAGGACGACAGACAGACAGACAGATAGACAGGACGACAGACAGACAGACAGACAGGACGACAGACAGACAGACAGGACGACAGACAGACACACACAGACAAACAAACAGACAGACAGACAGACACACACAGACACACACACACACACACACACACACACACAGACAGAAGACTGGTTGAAATCTGTGGATGAAAGTGGCCTGTCTGTCTCTCAGCCTGTCTGTCTCTCTGTGGATCCGTGTTCGGAGGATGGCAGCGGGGTCTGTCGCCGCCCCCCGCCGGCCTCGCTGCTCGTTCTACGGGCTCTCGCAGCTCTGACGTCCCGCTGCGGCGGAGGCTTTTTCCCGGTCAGGATCTGATTGACCCAGGTCAGGATCTGATTGACCCAGGTCAGGATCTGACCCGGGTAAAATCGGCGGACTGAAGCAAACATCGGTGTGGGTTCAGGATGCCCTCAGAGGTGACTGCAGGTGTGTTCATCAGAGTTCTGCTGCCCTTCACTTTGACTGCAGGTAAGATACCACACACACACACACAGTACACTATGAACAATAATACTAATACTGAATACTAACAAAGTTTCAAGTTCAGACAATGTCATCAATTAACAAGAACACACTGACTTGAAGAGACACACTGACTTGAAGAGACACACTGACTTGAAGAGAGAGACACACTGACTTGAAGAGAGACACTGACTTGAAGAGACACACTGACTTGAAGAGAGAGACACTGACTTGAAGAGAGAGACACACTGACTTGAAGAGACACACTGACTTGAAGAGAGAGACACACTGACTTGAAGACACACACTGACTTGAAGAGACACACTGACTTGAAGAGAGACACACTGACTTGAAGAGAGACACACTGACTTGAAGAGAGACACACTGACTTGAAGACACACACTGACTTGAAGAGACACACTGACTTGAAGAGAGAGACACTGACTTGAAGAGACACACTGACTTGAAGAGAGAGACACACTGACTTGAAGAGAGACACACTGACTTGAAGAGAGAGACACACTGACTTGAAGAGAGACACTGACTTGAAGAGAGAGACACACTGACTTGAAGAGACACACTGACTTGAAGAGAGAGACACACTGACTTGAAGAGAGACACTGACTTGAAGAGAGAGACACACTGACTTGAAGAGAGAGACACTGACTTGAAGAGAGAGACACACTGACTTGAAGAGAGAGACACACTGACTTGAAGAGACACACTGACTTGAAGAGAGAGACACTGACTTGAAGAGAGAGACACACTGACTTGAAGAGACACACTGACTTGAAGAGAGACACTGACTTGAAGAGAGAGACACACTGACTTGAAGACACACACTGACTTGAAGAGACACACTGACTTGAAGAGAGACACACTGACTTGAAGAGAGACACACTGACTTGAAGACACACACTGACTTGAAGAGACACACTGACTTGAAGAGACAGACACACTGACTTGAAGAGAGAGACACTGACTTGAAGAGAGAGACACACTGACTTGAAGAGAGAGACACTGACTTGAAGAGAGACACACTGACTTGAAGAGAGAGACACTGACTTGAAGAGAGAGACACACTGACTTGAAGAGAGACACACTGACTTGAAGAGAGACACTGACTTGAAGAGAGAGACACACTGACTTGAAGAGAGAGACACTGACTTGAAGAGAGAGACACACTGACTTGAAGAGAGAGACACTGACTTGAAGAGAGAGACACACTGACTTGAAGAGAGAGACACTGACTTGAAGAGAGAGACACTGACTTGAGAGAGACACACTGACTTGAAGAGAGAGACACACTGACTTGAAGAGAGACACACTGACTTGAAGAGAGACACACTGACTTGAAGAGAGAGACACTGACTTGAGAGAGAGACACTGACTTGAAGAGAGACACACTGACTTGAAGAGACACACTGACTTGAAGAGAGAGACACACTGACTTGAAGAGAGACACACACTGACTTGAAGAGAGACACTGACTTGAAGAGACACACTGACTTGAAGAGAGAGACACTGACTTGAAGAGAGAGACACACTGACTTGAAGAGACACACTGACTTGAAGAGAGAGACACTGACTTGAAGAGAGAGACACTGACTTGAAGAGAGAGACACACTGACTTGAAGAGACACACTGACTTGAAGAGAGACACTGACTTGAAGAGAGAGACACACTGACTTGAAGACACACTGACTTGAAGAGACACACTGACTTGAAGAGAGACACACTGACTTGAAGAGAGACACACTGACTTGAAGAGACACACTGACTTGAAGAGAGAGACACTGACTTGAAGAGACACACTGACTTGAAGAGAGAGACACACTGACTTGAAGAGAGAGACACACTGACTTGAAGAGAGACACTGACTTGAAGAGAGACACACTGACTTGAAGAGAGAGACACTGACTTGAAGAGAGACACTGACTTGAAGAGAGAGACACACTGACTTGAAGAGAGAGACACACTGACTTGAAGAGAGAGACACACTGACTTGAAGAGACACACTGACTTGAAGAGAGAGACACACTGACTTGAAGAGAGAGACACTGACTTGAAGAGAGACACACTGACTTGAAGAGACACACTGACTTGAAGAGAGAGACACACTGACTTGAAGAGACACACTGACTTGAAGAGACACACTGACTTGAAGAGAGAGACACACTGACTTGAAGAGACACTGACTTGAAGAGAGAGACACACTGACTTGAAGAGACACACTGACTTGAAGAGAGAGACACACTGACTTGAAGAGACACACTGACTTGAAGAGAGAGACACTGACTTGAAGAGAGAGACACACTGACTTGAAGAGACACACTGACTTGAGAGAGACACACTGACTTGAAGAGAGACACACTGACTTGAAGAGACACACTGACTTGAAGAGACACACTGACTTGAAGAGAGACACACTGACTTGAAGAGAGACACACTGACTTGAAGAGACACACTGACTTGAAGAGACACACTGACTTGAAGAGAGAGACACACTGACTTGAAGAGACACACTGACTTGAAGAGAGAGACACTGACTTGAAGAGACACACTGACTTGAAGAGAGAGACACACTGACTTGAAGAGAGACACACTGACTTGAAGAGAGAGACACACTGACTTGAAGAGACACTGACTTGAAGAGAGAGACACACTGACTTGAAGAGACACACTGACTTGAAGAGAGAGACACACTGACTTGAAGAGAGAGACACTGACTTGAAGAGAGACACACTGACTTGAAGAGACACACTGACTTGAAGAGAGAGACACACTGACTTGAAGAGACACACTGACTTGAAGAGAGAGACACACTGACTTGAAGAGACACACTGACTTGAAGAGAGACACACTGACTTGAAGAGAGAGACACACTGACTTGAAGAGAGACACTGACTTGAAGAGAGAGACACACTGACTTGAAGAGACACACTGACTTGAAGAGAGAGACACACTGACTTGAAGAGAGAGACACTGACTTGAAGAGAGACACACTGACTTGAAGAGACACACTGACTTGAAGAGAGAGACACACTGACTTGAAGAGACACACTGACTTGAAGAGACACACTGACTTGAAGAGAGACACACTGACTTGAAGAGACACACTGACTTGAAGAGAGAGACACACTGACTTGAAGAGACACACTGACTTGAAGAGAGAGACACACTGACTTGAAGAGACACACTGACTTGAAGAGAGAGACACTGACTTGAAGAGAGAGACACTGACTTGAAGAGAGACACACTGACTTGAAGAGAGACACTGACTTGAAGAGAGAGACACACTGACTTGAAGAGAGACACACTGACTTGAAGAGACACACTGACTTGAAGAGAGACACACTGACTTGAAGAGAGACACACTGACTTGAAGAGACACACTGACTTGAAGAGACACACTGACTTGAAGAGAGACACACTGACTTGAAGAGAGAGACACTGACTTGAAGAGACACACTGACTTGAAGAGAGACACACTGACTTGAAGAGAGACACACTGACTTGAAGAGAGAGACACACTGACTTGAAGAGAGACACTGACTTGAAGAGAGAGACACTGACTTGAAGAGACACACTGACTTGAGAGAGACACACTGACTTGAAGAGAGAGACACTGACTTGAAGAGAGACACACTGACTTGAAGAGACACACTGACTTGAAGAGAGAGACACACTGACTTGAAGAGAGACACACTGACTTGAAGAGACACACTGACTTGAAGAGAGAGACACACTGACTTGAAGAGACACACTGACTTGAAGAGACACACTGACTTGAAGAGAGAGACACACTGACTTGAAGAGAGAGACACACTGACTTGAAGAGACACACTGACTTGAAGAGAGACACACTGACTTGAAGAGAGAGACACTGACTTGAAGAGAGACACACTGACTTGAAGAGACACACTGACTTGAAGAGAGAGACACACTGACTTGAAGAGAGACACACTGACTTGAAGAGACACACTGACTTGAAGAGAGACACTGACTTGAAGAGAGACACACTGACTTGAAGAGAGAGACACTGACTTGAAGAGAGAGACACTGACTTGAAGAGAGACACACTGACTTGAAGAGAGACACTGACTTGAGAGAGACACTGACTTGAAGAGACACACTGACTTGAAGAGAGAGACACACTGACTTGAAGAGACACTGACTTGAAGAAGAGAGACACACTGACTTGAAGAGAGACACACTGACTTGAAGAGAGACACTGACTTGAAGAGAGAGACACTGACTTGAAGAGACACACTGACTTGAAGAGAGAGACACACTGACTTGAAGAGACACACTGACTTGAAGAGAGACACACTGACTTGAAGAGAGAGACACTGACTTGAAGAGACACACTGACTTGAAGAGACACACTGACTTGAAGAGAGACACACTGACTTGAAGAGAGACACTGACTTGAAGAGAGACACTGACTTGAAGAGAGAGACACTGACTTGAAGAGACACACTGACTTGAAGAGAGAGACACACTGACTTGAAGAGAGACACACTGACTTGAAGAGACACACTGACTTGAAGAAGAGACACTGACTTGAAGAGAGAGACACTGACTTGAAAGAGACACACTGACTTGAAGAGAGAGACACTGACTTGAAGAGAAGACACTGACTTGAAGAGAGACACTGACTTGAAGAGACACACTGACTTGAAGAGAGAGACACTGACTTGAAGAGACACACTGACTTGAAGAGACAGACACTGACTTGAAGAGAGAGACACTGACTTGAAGAGAGACACTGACTTGAAGAGAGACACTGACTTGAAGAGAGACACACTGACTTGAAGACAGACACACTGACTTGAAGAGACACACTGACTTGAAGAGAGACACACTGACTTGAAGAGAGACACACTGACTTGAAGAGAGACACACTGACTTGAAGACACACACTGACTTGAAGAGACACACTGACTTGAAGAGACACACTGACTTGAAGAGAGACACACTGACTTGAAGAGAGAGACACTGACTTGAAGAGACACACTGACTTGAAGAGACACACTGACTTGAAGAGAGACACACTGACTTGAAGAGAGACACTGACTTGAAGAGACACACTGACTTGAAGAGACACACTGACTTGAAGAGAGAGACACACTGACTTGAAGAGAGACACACTGACTTGAAGAGACACACTGACTTGAAGAGAGAGAGACTGACTTGAAGAGACACACTGACTTGAAGAGAGAGACACACTGACTTGAAGAGAGAGACACTGACTTGAAGAGAGAGACACACTGACTTGAAGAGAGAGACACACTGACTTGAAGAGAGAGACACTGACTTGAAGAGAGAGACACACTGACTTGAAGAGAGAGACACACTGACTTGAGAGAGAGACACTGACTTGAAGAGAGAGACACACTGACTTGAAGAGAGAGACACACTGACTTGAAGAGAGAGACACACTGACTTGAAGAGACACACTGACTTGAAGAGAGACACACTGACTTGAAGAGAGAGACACACTGACTTGAAGAGAGAGACACTGACTTGAAGAGAGAGACACACTGACTTGAGAGAGACACTGACTTGAAGAGAGAGACACACTGACTTGAAGAGAGAGACACATTGACTTGAAGAGAGAGACACACTGACTTGAAGAGACACTGACTTGAAGAGAGAGACACATTGACTTGAAGAGACACTGACTTGAAGAGAGAGACACACTGACTTGAAGAGAGACACTGACTTGAAGAGACACACTGACTTGAAGAGAGAGACACACTGACTTGAAGAGAGAGACACTGACTTGAAGAGAGACACACTGACTTGAAGAGACACACTGACTTGAAGAGACACACTGACTTGAAGAGAGAGACACTGACTTGAAGAGAGACACACTGACTTGAAGAGACACTGACTTGAAGAGACACACTGACTTGAAGAGAGAGACACACTGACTTGAAGAGAGACACTGACTTGAAGAGAGACACACTGACTTGAAGAGACACACTGACTTGAAGAGAGACACTGACTTGAAGAGAGAGACACACTGACTTGAAGAGAGAGACACACTGACTTGAAGAGAGAGACACACTGACTTGAAAGAGAGACACTGACTTGAAGAGAGAGACACACTGACTTGAAGAGAGAGACACTGACTTGAAGAGAAGACACACTGACTTGAAGAGACACACTGACTTGAAGGAGAGACACACTGACTTGAAGAGAGAGACACACTGACTTGAAGAGAGAGACACACTGACTTGAAGAGACACACTGACTTGAAGAGAGACACACTGACTTGAAGAGAGAGACACTGACTTGAAGAGAGACACACTGACTTGAAGAGAGAGACACACTGACTTGAAGAGAGACACACTGACTTGAAGAGAGACACACTGACTTGAGAGAGAGACACACTGACTTGAAGAGACACACTGACTTGAAGAGAGAGACACACTGACTTGAAGAGAGACACACTGACTTGAAGAGAGACGACACTGACTTGAGAGACACACTGACTTGAAGAGAGACACACTGACTTGAAGAGAGACACACTGACTTGAGAGAGAGACACACTGACTTGAAGAGAGAGACACACTGACTTGAAGAGAGACACACTGACTTGAAGAGAGACACACTGACTTGAAGAGACACACTGACTTGAAGAGAGAGACACACTGACTTGAAGAGAGACACACTGACTTGAAGAGAGAGACACTGACTTGAAGAGAGAGACACTGACTTGAAGAGAGAGACACTGACTTGAAGAGAGAGACACTGACTTGAAGAGAGAGACACTGACTTGAGAGAGAGACACACTGACTTGAAGAGACACATGACTTGAAGAGAGACCACTGACTTGAAGAGAGAGACTGACTTGAGAGACCACTGACTTGAAGAGAGACACACTGACTTGAAGAGAGAGACACTGACTTGAAGAGACCACTGACTTGAAGAGACACACTGACTTGAAGAGAGACACTGACTTGAAGAGAGGACACACTGACTTGAAGAGAGAGACACACTGACTTGAAGAGAGAGACACTGACTTGAAGAGAGACACTGACTTGAAGAGAGACACTGACTTGAAGAGAGAGACACACTGACTTGAAGAGAGACACACTGACTTGAAGAGAGAGACACTGACTTGAAGAGAGAGACACACTGACTTGAAGAGAGACACTGACTTGAAGAGAGACACACTGACTTGAAGAGAGAGACACACTGACTTGAAGAGAGACACACTGACTTGAAGAGAGAGACACTGACTTGAAGAGAGACACTGACTTGAAGAGAGACACTGACTTGAAGAGAGAGACACTGACTTGAAGAGACACACTGACTTGAAGAGAGAGACACTGACTTGAAGAGACACACTGACTTGAAGAGACACACTGACTTGAAGAGAGACACTGACTTGAAGAGAGAGACACTGACTTGAAGAGAGAGACCACTGACTTGAAGAGAGAGACACTGACTTGAAGAGACACACTGACTTGAAGAGAGAGACACTGACTTGAAGAGAGACACACTGACTTGAAGAGACACACTGACTTGAAGAGAGAGACACACTGACTTGAAGAGACACACTGACTTGAAGAGAGAGACACACTGACTTGAAGAGAGAGACACACTGACTTGAAGAGAGACACACTGACTTGAAGAGACACACTGACTTGAAGAGAGAGACACTGACTTGAAGAGAGAGACACTGACTTGAAGAGAGACACTGACTTGAAGAGACACACTGACTTGAAGAGAGAGACACTGACTTGAAGAGAGACACACTGACTTGAAGAGAGACACACTGACTTGAAGAGACACACTGACTTGAAGAGAGAGACACTGACTTGAAGAGAGACACACTGACTTGAAGAGAGAGACACTGACTTGAAGAGAGACACACTGACTTGAAGAGAGAGACACTGACTTGAAGAGAGACACACTGACTTGAAGAGAGAGACACTGACTTGAAGAGAGACACTGACTTGAAGAGACACACTGACTTGAAGAGAGAGACACACTGACTTGAAGAGAGACACTGACTTGAAGAGAGAGACACTGACTTGAAGAGACACACTGACTTGAAGAGAGAGACGCTGACTTGAAGAGACACACTGACTTGAAGAGACACACTGACTTGAAGAGAGACACACTGACTTGAAGAGAGAGACACTGACTTGAAGAGAGAGACACACTGCTGCTGAGTGATGTCCTCACTCTTCAAGGTTGTCCCAGCACCTTCATCACAGATGAATGAAGAGTGTTCGCTGTTTGGTGAAATTTCCCTTTAAAGAGCTAACCGCTTCACATTCCAGAGCGGGGGGAGGTGTGTGTGTGTGTGTGTGTGTGTGTGTGTGTGTGTGTGTGTGTGTGTGTGTGTGTGTGTGTGTGTGTGTGTGTGTGTGTGTGTGTGGTGTGTGTGTGTGTGTGTGTGTGTGTGTGTGTGTGTGTGTGTGTGTGTGTGTGTGTGTGTGTGTCAGATGTTGTTACCTGAGAAAGTAGAACACATTAGTGTGTGAGTGTTGGGGGAGGGGGAACCAAACAGGGAAACACTCTTCCTGTCTGCAGCCCACCCACCCCACCCCCACCCCGCCCTCCCTCTGCCATGGACGACGTCCTGCTGCGTTCCTGTGCTGGAGACACTGTGCCACAGTAATGCCAAGGACTACAGAGCTCTCTCTCTCTCCCTCCACCACGTCTTTAAAAACATATACTGATGACCCCTGACCTTTAACCTTAAGAGCTACAATACAATACCTCCATTCTTCAATACTGCACTATTTTATATTGTTTTATATCTTTACGTTCCTATGTTTATTTCCTGTAAACTCTGCACTTAGCATGCTAACATTAAGCAACATGTAGCATGTTCCTAACTGACTACATATTTACTAAAGATTCAGTTTATTCCGTTTGCGTCTTCTTTGTATTGTTATTTTTTGTATTTGACATCTTTGAAAACGTTGATGATTTCTTGGTTCAGCTGTTGTCTTGATGACCTGACGATCATCGATGGTTTCACTGATTCATTGATTTGTGTTTTCACAGCGTGTGTGCTGCGTTTTAATGGATTCTCTCTGGTGTACGTCCTCCTGCTGCTGCTGCTGCCACTGCTACCTGACCCCTCCCCCTCCTCAGGAACCAATACTGACCCCTCCCCCTCCTCAGGTACAAATACTGACCCCTCCCCCTCCTCAGGTACAAATACTGACCCCTCCCCCTCCTCAGGAACCAATACTGACCCCTCCCTCCTCAGGTACAAATACTGACCTCCCCTCCTCAGGTACAAATACTGACCCCTCCCCCTCCTCAGGTACAAATACTGACCCTCCCCCTCCTCAGGAACCAATACTGACCCTCCCCTCCTCAGGACAATACTGACCCCTCCCCCTCCTCAGGTACAAATACTGACCCCTCCCTCCTCAGGAACCAATACTGACCCCTCCCCCTCTCAGGAACCAATACTGACCCCTCTCTTCAGGTACAAATACTGACCCCTCCCTCCTCAGGAACCAATACTGACCCCTCCCCCTCCTCAGGTACAATACTGACCCCTCCCCCTCCTCCCTCCTCAGGAACCAATACTGACCCCTCCCCTCCTCAGGAACCAATACTGACCCCTCCCCCTCTATAACTTAATTTGTATTCTTTGGATGGATTAATAAGTGATTACACTTATTAACCTACAGACTGTGTGTGTGTGTGTGGCCGAGATATAACCCCAGTAAATCCTGCAGAGACACACACAGACACACACAGACACACAGAGACACACAGAGACACACACAGACACACACAGACACACACAGAGCTCTCAGAATGTGAGATCTTTCCTGAAGGATCTTCCTGAGGAAATACAAATTGTATGTGAGTGACATCATTTCCTGTTTACTTTTTCTTACAGGACGGGGTAGATACAGTCGACATGGTGTCATAGTCGCACATGATAATAAGAGAACAAGTACACATGTCAATAAGAGAACAAGTACACATGTCAATAAGAGAACAAGTACACATGATAATAAGAGAACAAGTACACATGTCAATAAGAGAACAAGTACACATGATAATAAGAGAACAAGTACACATGATAATAAGAGAACACGTACACATGTCAGTAAGAGAACAAGTACACATGATAATGAGAGAACACGTACACTTGTCAATAAGAGAACAAGTACACATGATAATAAGAGAACAAGTACACTTGTCAATAAGAGAACAAGTACACATGATAATAAGAGAACAAGTACACATGTCAATAAGAGAACAAGTACACATGATAATGAGAGAACAAGTACACATGTCAATAAGAGAACAAGTACACATGATAATGAGAGAACACGTACACATGTCAATAAGAGAACAAGTACACATGATAATGAGAGAACACGTACACATGTCAATAAGAGAACAAGTACACATGATAATGAGAGAACAAGTACACTTGTCAATAAGAGAACAAGTACACTTGTCAATAAGAGAACAAGTACACATGATAATAAGAGAACAAGTACACATGTCAATAAGAGAACAAGTACACATGATAATAAGAGAACAAGTACACATGTCAATAAGAGAACAAGTACACATGTCAGTAAGAGAACAAGTACACATGTCAGTAAGAGAACAAGTACACATGTCAGTAAGAGAACAAGTACACATGTTAGTAAGAGAACAAGTACACATGTCAATAAGAGAACAAGTACACATGATAATAAGAGAACAAGTACACTTGTCAATAAGAGAACAAGTACACATGTCAACTAGAGAACAAGTACACATGTCAACTAGAGAACAAGTACACATGTCATTAAGAGAACAAGTACACATGTCAGTAAGAGAACAAGTACACATGATAATAAGAGAACAAGTACACATGTCAGTAAGAGAACAAGTACACATGATAATAAGAGAACAAGTACACTTGTCAGTAAGAGAACAAGTACACATGATAATAAGAGAACAAGTACACATGTCAATAAGAGAACAAGTACACGTTTTCTTGTGTTGTTTTATTTGTGTGGTTTGTTCTTTCTCATGCGTTGTAAATAATATTTGTTTTGTGTTTCCTAGGTAACGTGTGTCGCTGTGTGATGGCGCTGTGTGTCTCCAGCTTTCTCTTCCTGCTGCTGCAGTCGTTCTTTCAGCTGACGACCCTGAGCCTCCAGCCCGAGTCGAACTGTGAGATACGCCTGTCTGTCTGCTCACATGTATAACAATGACCTGTCTGTCTCTCTGTGTAACAATATCCTGTCTGTCTCTCTGTGTAACAATGACCTGTCTGTCTCTCTGTGTAACAATGACCTGTCTGTCTCTCTGTGTAACAATATCCTGTCTGTCTCTCTGTGTAACAATGACCTGTCTGTCTCTCTGTAACAGTGACCTTTCTTTCTGCAGGTACTTCATGGCAGAAAACTCTCAGTCAGCTGGGCCTCCTGAGGTAAGACCACAACAAGATGGACGGACAGACAGACAGACAGACAGACAGACAGACAGACAGACACAGACACATAGACAGACAGACAGACAGACAGACAGACAGACAGACACACACACAGGCAGGCAGACAGACAGGCAGGCAGGTAACAGACAGACAGACACACAGGCAGACACATAGACAGACAGCCAGGCAGGTAACAGACAGACAGACACACAGGCAGACACACAGACAGGCAGGCAGGTAACAGACAGACAGACAGACAGACAATTAATTTAATGTTTTTTTTCTGCACTTTTTGAGTATTTTTGACACTGTGTCATCTGCTGCTTTTCTTGACCTCCAAAATAAAAGCCTTGTTGTAGCAATCTGTCCCCTCAGAAAGCACAACAACATCTGATCTGTGTGTGTGTGTGTGTGTGTGTGTGCCTGTGTGTGTGTGTGTGTGTGTGTGTGTTTGTCAGAAGCAGGAGGGACTGACAGAACTCCCTCTGTCTAGACTACATGGCTCTGTAAACACACACACACACACACACACACACACACACACACACACACACACACACACACACACACACACACACACACAGAAACAGATGATATATACTAAAGAACATAAAGCAAAAACTGCCTGTCTGTCTCTTTGCCTGTCTGTCTGTCTCAGTTTCCCAGGAAGTGATGCAGGCTCTGCAGTGAGACAGCTGTTTCCAGATGTCGGCGTGCTGGTCATCAGTTTGCTGACGTGGAGGCTGATTGTGAAACTAAACACCAACACACACACATGCAGGTAACACACACCAACACACACATGCAGGTAACACACAAACACACACCAACACACACATGCAGGTAACACACACACACGAGCATACACGCATGCAGGTAACACACACACACACGAGCATACACACATGCAGGTAACACACACGAGCACACACACACTAATAAAGCAGGTGTAACCTTGTTAAGTCTTCTCTTCTTGTTTCGTAATACGGTTTCCTGTCTATTACTGAGTAACTCAGTCAGCTATTTATTAACAGTAACATCATTATGTGACTGCATCAGGATACACACACACACACACACACACACACACAGTATAATGATTATGTTTTGGTATCAATCAGTTTATCATTTGTCCTGTCAGAGTCTGGTTGTAAACATGAAACCAGACCTGCAGAACGTCCTCTTCCTCCTCCCTCACCGCCCTCTCCTCCTCTTCCTCTTCCTCCTTCTCTTCCTCCTCCACCTCCTCCTCCTTCTCCTCCTCCTCCTCCTCCTCTTCCTCTTCCTCCTTCTCTTCCTCCTCCACCTCCTCTCCCACCTCCTTCTCCTCCTCCTCCTTTCCTCCTCCTCCTCTTCCTCCTCCTCCTCTTCCTCCTGTCATGATGTATATCTTTTGACTGAATGTCCGTCAAACGTTTATGTAGAGACTCTCTGAGAGGTCAGAGGTCACACATGTTGCTGTATGTTTCAGCCTCAGCTGGAGTTCCAGCAGAAGCTGGAGGAGGAGGAGGAGGAGGAGGAAGAGGATGAGCTGATGTTTGAGGAGGACTCTGTGCTTAGTGAAGAAGAGGAGGAGGAGAAATGCAGAAGAAATTGGGTTTTGTTTGAACTGGAGTTACTGATTTGTAAAACCAGGAAGATGATTGGAAACATGACGATGGCGGGAGGGAAAGTCCTTCTGACGGGCTTACTAGGAATCACAGGTAAGAATCCAGTATGACAGAAACGTCCAATAGAATCCAGTATGACAGAAACGTCCAATAGAATCCAGTATGACAGAAACGTCCAATAGAATCCAGTATGTCAGAGACGGCCAATAGAATCCAGTATGTCAGAGACGGCCAATAGAATCCAGTATGTCAGAGACGTCCAATAGAATCCAGAATGTCAGAAACGTCCAATAGAATCCAGTATGACAGAGATGTCCGATAGAATCCCGTGTGTCAGAGACGTCCAATAGAATCCAGTATGTCAGAGACGTCCAATAGAATCCAGAATGTCAGAAACGTCCAATAGAATCCAGTATGACAGAGACGTCCAATAGAATCCCGTGTGTCAGAGACGTCCAATGGAATCCAGTATGTCAGAGACGTCCAATGGAATCCAGTATGTCAGAGACGTCCAATGGAATCCAGTATGTCAGAGACGTCCAATGGAATCCAGTATGTCAGAGACGTCCAATGGAATCCAGTATGTCAGAGACGTCCAATGGAATCCAGTATGTCAGAGACGTCCAATAGAATCCAGAATGTCAGAGACGTCCAATAGAATCCAGAATGTCAGAGACGTCCAATAGAATCCAGAATGTCAGAGACGTCCAATAGAATCCAGTATGACAGAGACGTCCAATGGAATTCAGTATGACAGAGACATCCAATAGAATCACTCCTCTGTATCTTATAGTTTTCCTGTTCAGTTCACCAAAACATTTAACCATGACGAGAGTATTCATCTTGAGATGGTCGTCCCCTTCTATTCAATTTCAATTCAATTCAATTCAATTTAATTTATTTGTATAGCGTCAACTCATAACAAGTGTTATCTCAAGACACTTTACAAAAAGCAGGTAAAATAACTTACTCTTTGTCTGTTAACATTACAAAAGAGCAGGTCAAAAGACCTTACTCATTGTTATGTTACTAAAAGCAGGTAAAATACCTTACTTATTGCTATGTTACAAAGATCCGGCCTATCCATCATGAGCACTTTAGCAAAGCAGCAAAAGTTACAGTGGTAAAAAAAACTGCCTTATTAAAAGGCAGAAATCTTCGGCCGGATCCCCGGCTCATGACGAAATTAGACCGGACTGTGCCGGGGTTGGAAAGGGATAGGGGGAGAGATGGGATAAGATGCAGGAAGAGGGATAGGGAGCAAGGGGGTGGGGGGAGGCAGACTGTCCATCAACAATCCGGTGGGGAGGGGGGGGGTTGTTCTGGCAGGCCGTCAACCAACGATCTTGAGGTGCCTAAGAGAGCTCAAGAGCTTTCAGGAAAGTAGGTGGTTAGTGACTGAGATTTACAGATAGATACATGCAGTAATATGATGTACTGTATATGCACAGAGAGAGAGAGAGAGAGAGAGAGAGGAGCTCAAGGTGCCAGTTCCCCCGGTAGTCTAAGCCTATAGCAGCATAACTAAGAGCTGGTCTACACCAGCACTAACTATAAGATTTATCAAAAAGGAAAGTTTTAAGTCTATTCTTAAAAATACAGACTGTGTCTGCCTCCTGGACCCCGGCTGGAAGGCGGTTCCAGAGGAGAGGAGCCCGATAACTGAAGGCTTTACCCCCCATAGTACACTTAAAGACTGTAGGTACCACCAGCAGGCCTGCACTCCGGGACCGCAACGCTCTCGAGGGACAGTATGGCACTAGTAGCTTCTTAAGATAAAATGGTGCCTGGCCATTTAGAGCTTTGTAGGTGAGAAGAAGGCTCTTGAATTCTATTCTAGACTGTATAGGGAGCCATTGCAGAGAAGCCAAGGCAGGAGTGATGTGGTCCCATTTCCTGGTTCTGGTCAGTACACGAGCTGCAGCGTTCTGGACCAGTTGAAGAGTCTTTAGAGACTTGCCAGAGCACCCTGACAAAAGAGAGTTACAATAATCCAGTCTGGAGGTAACAAATGCATGAACTAGTTTTTCTGCATCATTTTGCGACAGGATATTCCTGATCTTGGATATATTACGAAGGTGAAAATAGGCTGTTCTTGAAACTTGTCTGATGTGAGAGCTAAAAGACATATCTTGATCAAAAAGAACTCCTAGATTCCTAACAGCGGTGCTAGATGCCAGGCTGATGTCACTAAGGACAGTCAAATCACTAGAAAAAGTCTCTCTGAGGTTCTCAGGGCCTAGCACAATAACTTCAGTCTTGTCTGAGTTAAGTAGCAAAAGATTTCTGGTCATCCAGGTCCTAACGTCCTTAAGGCACGTTTCTAGCTGACATAACTGACTGGTGCCATCGGGCTTCATTGATACGTAAAGCTGAGTATCATCTGCATAACAATGAAACTGTATGGATTGTTTCCTCATAATATTTTCCAGAGGAAGCATATATAATGTAAAGAGAATTGGTCCAAGCACTGAACCTTGTGGGACTCCATGGCAAACTTTAGTGTGCATAGAGGACTCATCATTAACATCTACAAACTGAGATCGGACTGATAAGTAGGATTCAAACCAACTTAAAGCAGTCCCTGTAATTCCAAGCAAATACTCCAGACTGTACAACAGGATCCGATGGTCAATGGTGTCAAAAGCAGCACTAAGATCTAACAAGACGAGCACAGAGAGATGTCCCCTGTCTGAAGCTAGAAGTAGATCGTTTGTAACTTTAACTAGTGCAGTCTCAGTGCTATGGTGGACTCTAAATCCTGACTGAAACTCCTCAAATAAACTGTTGTCATGGAGAAAGTCACACAGCTGTTTAGCTACCACCTTCTCCAGGATCTTCGAGAAAAAAGGAAGGTTCGATATAGGCCTGTAGTTAGCTAGAGTTCCTGAGTCCAGAGTAGGCTTTTTAAGTAGAGGTTTGATTACCGCTACTTTAAATGCCTGGGGTACATAGCCTGCCAGTAAAGACGAATTGATCATAACTAATATAGAGTTGCTAACTAAGGGAAAAACTTCCTTAAACTGCTTGGTTGGGATTGGGTCCAAAAGACAGGTTGACGGTTTCGACGCAGAAAAAATGGAATATAGCTCTGAAAGGTCGATTGGAGAAAAACAGTCGAGACTAATATCTGGTCCTGGAACTGTCTCTGCCGTATCAGACGTATCCGCACCAGGTAAGGGCAGGAGGTTACCAATTTTGTCTCTGATGTCTAGAATTTTGTTGTTGAAAAAGCTCAGGAAGTCATTACTGCTGAGGGCTAAAGGAATATAAGGCTCAATGGAGCCATGACTCTCTGTCAGCCTGGCTACAGTGCTGAAAAGGTATCTAGGATTGCCTTTGTTTTCCTCGATTAGAGAGGAGTAGTAGGCAGCTCGAGCGTGACGTAGAGCCTTCATATATCTTCTATGACTATCCTGCCAGAAAAAACGAGATTCTACCGTTTTGGTCGAGCGCCATATTCTTTCAAAATTCCGTGACGATTGTTTTAGAGTATGGGTTTCTGAGTTGAACCATGGAGCTATTCTCCGCCGCTTGACAACCCTCTGTTTCAGGGGAGCAATCGAATCAAGAGTAACTCTCAGCGAATCCACTGCACTATCAACAAACTGATCTAGCTGAGAGGGACTAAAGCTATCATAAGAGTTTCCAACTGGGTTGAAACACGGTACTGAATCAAAAACAGCTGAAATAGCTTCCTTAAATCTAGCCACAGCACTATCCGACAAACTTCTGTCTTTCTATCCCCCCCCCCCCCCCCCCTCCAGGCATTGTCTTCCCCTCCCTATCCTCCCTCCTCTACCTTCTTTGTTTCCAGGTGTTGTGTACCTGCTGGGCATGGTCAGGTCAGGTCCCAACATTACTCTTCAGGTGTGTGTCTGTGATGTCACTAGTCTACTCCTCCTCCCATTTCCTGCTCGTCTACTGCTATCAGCTGCCCTCACTTCAGGAGGCGTGGCCTCCTAACAGCACATCTGCCAGGTAATTTATTTACATTATAAAATTAAGAATGGAGGGAAGCAGAGAAGGAAGTGAATAGGGATGGAAAAAGATCAAAAGGAAGTAAGAGAGCGGAAAGGAGAGGAAGGATGTAGAGAAGGAGATAAAAATAGTAAAGAAAGGAAGAATAGAAGAGGAGACAGAGAAACAAACCGGGTACTAGAAAACGGGTAGAGAAGTACATTAAGAGGTAAAAAATAAGAAAGGAAAGGAAAAGGTAGACATACAGGAGGAGCAGTGCAGGATAATTACAGGTTGATTTAAAGACAGGCTCTCTATAGAGCATGTTTGTCTTCAGCAGATCTGAGTTTCAGTGTCTGGTGGTTCTGCTGCCCCCTGCTGGCTGCCTATCTGTATTTCTCTGCTTCAGTCTCAGTGAATGAACAGTGAACATGTCACTGTGATTACTGATGCCTTCATCCAGAATATTTAAAATCAATATAATGAAGTGTGTACTCTACAGAGAGAACTCTAGTAACCCATGGTTCCTTGCAGTGTGATGGGCCTGGTCTCGGTGGTCTCAGTGGACTGTGCTGCCCCCTGGAGTATGCAGGTGAACACTGACCTCTACTGGTTTCACTTCTGCAGCCCGCTGATGTTGCTGCTGCTTTACAACACTGTGGCAGCTCTGTGGAGGAACCAGGTGATGTCACTCAACACATGATGACAGCATGCTTCCATGGGAACAGTGCATGATGTCAGGATATAGCAGCCATGATGTCACTGCATGATGTCAAGCTATAACAGACATGATGTCACTGCATGATGTCAGGATATAACAGCCATGATGTCACTGCATGATGTCAGGATATAACAGCCATGATGTCACTGCATGATGTCAGGATATAACAGCCACGATGTCACTGCATGATGTCAGTGTCACTGCATGATGTCACTGCATGATGTCAGGATATAACAGCCACGATGTCACTGCATGATGTCAGTGTCACTGCATGATGTCAGGATATAACAGCACGATGTCACTGATGTCACTGCATGATGTCAGGATATAACAGCCACGATGTCACTGCATGATGTCAGTGTCACTGCATGATGTCACTGCATGATGTCAGGATATAACAGCCACGATGTCACTGCATGATGTCAGTGTCACTGCATGATGTCAGGATATAACAGACACGATGTCACTGCATGATGTCGGGGTATAACAGCCACGATGTCACTGCATGATGTCAGTGCATGATGTCAGGATATAACAGCCATGATGTCACTGCATGATGTCAGGATATAACAGCCATGATGTCACTGCATGATGTCAGGATATAACTGCCACGATGTCACTGCATGATGTCAGGATATAACAGACACGATGTCACTGCATGATGTCAGGGTATAACAGCCACGATGTCACTGCATGATGTCAGGATATAACTGCCACGATGTCACTGCATGATGTCACTGCATGATGTCAGTGTCACTGCATGATGTCAGGATATAACAGCCACGATGTCACTGCATGATGTCAGGCTATAACAGACAAGATGTCACTGCATGATGTCAGGATATAACAGACACGATGTCACTGCATGATGTCAGTGTCACTGCTTGATGTCACTGCATGATGTCAGGATATAACAGACACGATGTCACTGCATGGTGTCAGGATATAACAGCCATGATGTCACTGCATGATGTCAGGATATAACAGCCACGATGTCACTGCATGATGTCAGGATATAACAGACACGATGTCACTGCATGATGTCAGGATATAACAGCCACGATGTCACTGCATGATGTCACTGCATGATGTCAGGATATAACAGCCACGATGTCACTGCATGATGTCACTGCATGATGTCAGGATATAACAGACACGATGTCACTGCATGATGTCAGGATATAACAGCCATGATGTCACTGCATGATGTCAGGATATAACAGCCACGATGTCACTGCATGATGTCAGGATATAACAGACACGATGTCACTGCATGATGTCAGGATATAACAGCCACGATGTCACTGCATGATGTCACTGCATGATGTCAGGATATAACAGCCACGATGTCACTGCATGATGTCACTGCATGATGTCAGGATATAACAGCCACGATGTCACTGCATGATGTCACTGCATGATGTCAGGATATAACAGACACGATGTCACTGCATGATGTCAGGATATAACAGCCATGATGTCACTGCATGATGTCAGGATATAACAGCCACGATGTCACTGCATGATGTCAGGATATAACAGACACGATGTCACTGCATGATGTCACTGCATGATGTCAGGATATAACAGCCACGATGTCACTGCATGATGTCAGGACTTATGATGCAGATATATTGCTGGTGAGTTTTTGCCTATGCTTCCATTGGCTGACCTGAGTCACATGTTTCTGCAGCTGATTGACGGCAATGGGGGGCATGGTGTTGAGAGATCAGAGTCAGCGTTCAGTCAGAGCTGTGACATCATCACTGCCACCAGTAACCTTAGTGATGAGGTCACTGGTGACATCACTGCTGAGAGGAGGAGGGAGCTGTGGAGGAGAGCTCATGATCGTCCCGTGTTTAGAGACGTACGCAAACGAAACATCTGACATTCTGTAATGAATTTATAGAAATTATATAATAATTGAATTCATGTCATTAAGAATAAGATTGTGTGTTTCATGTTAACTTAGTAGCTTACAGTACACCTGTTTGTCTCCAGGTGTTGACGTCATCCACCAACGACAGTCCGTCAAACTCTTTAGCTCCTCTCAGTCAAAGTGCAGCCCTGGGGTTGGATGTTTCCTCCATGCCTCAGTACTCTCTCAGCCAATCAGGTGAGTCTGTGGTTTGAAATACAGCAGCGTTTCAGATGGAAACTGTTGAAGAGATGTCTTTGTGTGTTCATATCACATCAACCAGCGTTTATGGAGGAGAAATTAGTCAGACTGTAGAATCTGAATCCCTCCATGTTTGTGGGATCTCTAAGATACTCCACTTTGTCTGATTGACAATATGCTGCTGAATTTTTAGAGATGGTCACATCGACCCCTCATCTTAGCAGCTAACAGCCTCCTGAGATCATTTGGTGATATGGAGCAGTGAAAACAATCTAGAGCGTAACGCTCTAAAGACAGGGGAGATGGTTGTGGACTTGAAAAGCAGCCATCCCCCAACACTTATTTGAGCTATTTCTTTGTCAAATTCTTTGAAACACAAACACATCCTCCCACCTCGCTAAACTCATCATTAAGTTTATAGATCCAGGTTCTCCTGATCCTGTGTGTCCAAGGTCTGATGGTTCACTCTGTTCTGTAGACACGTTGGAGACTTGTGTGTTTGAAGAAGAAGAATGGGAGGAAGAAGAGGAGGTGAGGAGGAGGGGGGAGGAAAGTGCGGCCTCGATGGCGTTCGGTTTCCTCCTCAAACAGAGTTACATCTGCGCTCTGATCGCCATGATGGCGTGGTCCGTCACATACGTGTCCTGGCTGACATGTATTCTGCTGCTCTGGTCCTGCGTCCTCTGGATGATGCGAGAGCGCCGAAAATACACGCTGATGTCATCTCCCTGGCTGGTTGCCTACGGAAACCTGCTGGTCATCCTGCAGTACGTGTACAGCTTCCCCCCCGTCGAGGGAGTTCCTGGACTGTTTCCCCGAAAAGACGATCCCTGCAGAGAGCTCGCCTCCAAGGTACGTTTACGTCTACTACTACTTCTTCCATTAGCATGTACTGTACCTTTAAGAAAACCTTATTCAGTACTACGACCAATCAGCTGCTCCTACTCCAGTTCACCTCTGAGTCTCTGATTGATGTGACGGTATCGGGTGTAACCAGTCGTTCTGTTTTGGTTCTACTCCTTTTAAGAGAGACTCCACCAGTCATATTTCTAGTTCAGGATGACCACTGGAGCTACACTGACAGCACACCTTAGATAATCACCTGACAGGTGTCATTCATCACAATCACCTGACAGGTGTCATTCAACACAATCACCTGACAGGTGTCATTCAACACAATCACCTGACAGGTGTCTCTCTGGTTGTTTTTATACACAGAGGAGGAACAGCATATCTTGAACAGGCTGTGTAAAAGAGCCTGCTGACTGTTCACCTGTCTCACTGTCTGGTCACCTGTTTCACTGACTGATCACACATCCCACTGACATGTCACTTATCTCACTGACTGTTCACCTGTCTCACTCACTGGTCACCTGTCTCACTGACATGTCACCTGTCTCACTGACTGGTCACCTGTCTCACTTACTCGTCACCTGTCTCACTGACTGGTCACATGTCTCACTTACTCGTCACCTGTCTCACTGACTGTTCACCTGTCTCACTGACTGGTCACCTGTCTCACTGACATGTCACCTGTCTTTGGTTCTGTCGTCTGTAGAGTGACTGTTCACCTGTCTCACTCACTGGTCACCTGTCTCACTGACATGTCACCTGTCTCACTGACTGGTCACCTGTCTCACTTACTCGTCACCTGTCTCACTGACTGGTCACATGTCTCACTTACTCGTCACCTGTCTCACTGACTGTTCACCTGTCTCACTGACTGGTCACCTGTCTCACTGACATGTCACCTGTCTTTGGTTCTGTCGTCTGTAGAGGAGCAGAGGGCGGATGAACATCTACAGGACAAGAAGCAGGAGGAGCTGTCGTATGAGGAGCTGCTGCTTCTGCAGGGTGGAGGAGGAGTTAGGATGGAGGCCCTAGTTGCTGTGGTTACCAGGATGTTTATTAAATACTGGATCTACGTTTGTGGAACCATGTTCTTCTTTGTGAGTTTTGAGGGGGAAATGGTCCTTTACAAAGTCATCTACATGGTCATGTTCCTGTGCTGCGTCGCCCTCTACCAGGTAACACTGCAACTACACACCTGATCTACTACAGGTACACACTCACACCTGATCTGCTGCAGGTACACACTCACACCTGATCTACTGCAGGTACACACTCACACCTGATCTACTGCAGGTACACACTCACACCTGATCTACTGCAGGTACACACTCACACCTGATCTACTGCAGGTACACACTCACACCTGATCTACTGCAGGTACACACTCACACCTGATCTACTGCAGGTACACACTCACACCTGATCTACTGCAGGTACACACTCACACCTGATCTACCTGAGCTTTATGATCTTATTTTGTGTCTTTCTCTCTTTGCAGTTAAACTATGAGCGTTGGCGTGCCTTGCTCAGGGGTTTCTGGGTAGCTGTGGTTGTTTACTCCATGCTAGTTCTCATCCTGGTCTACACCTTCCAGTTCCCCTCATCCCCCCACCTGTGGAGTTACTACACTGGACTCAGCACACACAGGTACACACAGTTATCAGGTACACATAGGTGTAACATGTAGTCACAGGTGTAACATGTACACACAGGTACACACAGGTGTAACATGTACTCACAGGTGTAACATGTACACACAGGTACACACAGGTGTAACATGTACTCACAGGTGTAACAGGTACACACAGGTGTAACATGTACACACAGGTGCACACAGGTGTAACGTGTATTCACAGGTGTAACATGTACACACAGGTACACACAGGTGTAACCTGTAAGGACAATGTAAGGGCATTATCAAACAAATCATTTATTATTAACGACCTCATTAGAGAGAGAGAGAGAGAGAGAGAGAGAGAGAGCGAGAGAGAGAGCGAACAGGTGTAACATGTACACACAGGTGTTACCGGTACACACAGGTATAACAGATACTCACAGGTGTAACATGTACACACGGGTGTTACCGGTACACACAGGTATAACAGATACTCACAGGTGTAACATGTACACACAGGTGTAACATGTACTGTAATGTGTCTCTGCAGGTTGGAGGATGTTGGTTTGGAGAAGTTCACGGTTCCCGTCCTCTTCACTAAGATCTTCATCCCTGCTGCGTTCCTTCTGGTACCACAACCCGTTTTATCATTTCCTCAGAAAGTTCCTTTGTCTTACATCTTTAATATCTAAACCTCACTCACCAGGTGTGCATCGTACACCTGCATTACTTCCATGAACCCTTCCTGCTGCTGACTGACCTGAAGACTGTGGTGGACACACACAACAGCACCATCACCAGGTAACACAACTACACACCATCACCAGGTAACACAACTACACACCATCACCAGGTAACACAACCACACAGCACCATCACCAGGTAACACAACTACACAGCATCACAAGGTAACACAACTACACAGCACCACCAGGTAACACAACTACACAGCACCATCACCAGGTAACACAACTACACAGCACCATCACCAGGTAACACAACTACACAGCACCATCACCAGTAACACAACCACACAGCATCACCAGGTAACACAACTACACAGCATCACCAGGTAACACAACTACACAGCACCATCACCAGGTAACACAACTACACACCATCACCAGGTAACACAACTACACACCATCACCAGGTAACACAACTACACAGCACCATCACCAGGTAACACAACTACACAGCATCACCAGGTAACACAACTACACAGCACCATCACCAGGTAACACAACTACACACCATCACCAGGTAACACAACTACACAGCACCATCACCAGGTAACACAACTACACACCATCACCAGGTAACACAACCACACAGCACCATCACCAGGTAACACAACTACACAGCATCACAAGGTAACACAACTACACAGCACCACCAGGTAACACAACTACACACCATCACCAGGTAACACAACTACACACCATCACCAGGTAACACAACCACACAGCACCATCACCAGGTAACACAACTACACACCATCACCAGGTAACACAACTACCACACACCATCACCAGGTAACACAACTACACAGCACCATCACCAGGTAACACAACTACACACCATCACCAGGTAACACAACTACACAGCACCATCACCAGGTAACACAACTACACACCATCACCAGGTAACACAACTACACACCATCACCAGGTAACACAACTACACACCATCACCAGGTAACACAACTACACACCATCACCAGGTAACACAACTACACAGCATCACCAGGTAACACAACTACACCACACCACAGGTAACACAACTACACACCATCACCAGGTAACACAACTACACACCATCACCAGGTAACACAACTACACACCACCAGGTAACACAACTACACACCATCACCAGGTAACACAACTACACAGCATCACCAGGTAACACAACTACACACCATCACCAGGTAACACAACTACACACCATCACCAGGTAACACAACTACACACCATCACCAGGTAACACAACTACACAGCACCATCACCAGGTAACACAACTACACACCATCACCAGGTAACACAACTACACACCACCATCACCAGGTAACACAACCACACAGCACCACCAGGTAACACAACTACACACCATCACCAGGTAACACAACTACACACCATCACCAGGTAACACAACTACACACCATCACCAGGTAACACAACCACACAGCACCATCACCAGGTAACACAACTACACACCATCACCAGGTAACACAACTACACACCACCATCACCAGGTAACACAACTACACAGCATCACAAGGTAACACAACTACACAGCATCACAAGGTAACACAACCACACAGCACCATCACCAGGTAACACAACTACACAGCACCATCACCAGGTAACACAACTACACAGCACCATCACCAGGTAACACAACTACACACCACCATCACAAGGTAACACAACTACACAGCACCATCACCAGGTAACACAACCACACAGCATCACAAGGTAACACAACCACACAGCATCACAAGGTAACACAACTACACAGCACCATCACCAGGTAACACAACTACACAGCATCACCAGGTAACACAACTACACACCATCAACAGGTAACACAACTACACACCATCACCAGGTAACACAACTACACAGCACCATCACCAGGTAACACAACCACACAGCACCATCACCAGGTAACACAACCACACAGCACCATCACCAGGTAACACAACTACACAGCATCACCAGGTAACACAACTACACAGCACCATCACCAGGTAACACAACTACACAGCACCATCACCAGGTAACACAACTACACACCATCACCAGGTAACACAACTACACAGCACCATCACCAGGTAACACAACCACACAGCACCATCACCAGGTAACACAACTACACACCATCACCAGGTAACACAACTACACAGCATCACCAGGTAACACAACTACACAGCACCATCACCAGGTAACACAACTACACACCATCACCAGGTAACACAACTACACAGCATCACCAGGTAAGCTTGTTTTTTGGTGTTGCATGTTCAGGGGAGAATAAAATAGTGTAGTGATTAAAATGACCAGGAGGGGGCTCTCTCTCTCTGCAGGTTGGTCCATTCTGAAGGCAGCCTTTATGACCTTTCGCTGGGTGGATCTCCTGAACTCCTCAAGGAGGATGAGAAGAGAGAAGGAGAAAGGGGGACAGAGGAGGACAAAAAGAAGACATGGATAAAGGGAGAGGAAAAGGAGGAGCAGGAGATATACCCCTGTGTGTTTGATGGGGAAACCCTGTCTGACCACCTGTGAAACAGTAACCCTATGACAGAGCAGTTTGAAACAATAACAAGAACTGTCTCTCCTTCTCAGTCCTGATCTCCTGGAGGCTGGTGGTGGATCGTCTCTCTGTTCTGTTCCTGCAGCTCCTGCTCTCCCTGCAGCACCTGCAGCACCTCCTCTGGTGGTTCTTGGAATTACATATCGTTAAGATTGTCTCCTCCTATATCATCTGGGTTTCTGTGAAAGAGGTCAGAGCCTGTCTGTCTTTCTGTGTGTGTGTGTGTGTGTGTGTGTGTGTGTGTGTGTGTGTGTGTGTGTGTGTGTGTGTGTGTGTGTGTGTGTGTGTGTGTGTGTGTGTGTGTGTGTGTGTGTGTGTGTGTGTGTGTGTGTGTGTGTGTGTGTGTGTGTGTGTGTGTGTGTGTGTGTGTGTGTGTGTGTGTGTGTGTGTGTGTGTGTGTGTGTGTGTGTGTGTGTGTGTGTGTGTGTGTGTGTGTGTGTGTGTGTGTGTGTGTGTGTGTGTGTGTGTGTGTGTGTTGAACCTGTCTGTCTCTGCAGGTGTGTGTGTGTTGAACATGTCTGTGTTTCTGCAGGTGTGTGTGTGTGTTGAACTTGTCTGTCTCTCTGCAGGTGTGTGTTGAACCTGTCTTTCTCTCTGCAGGTGTGTGTTGAACCTGTCTTTCTCTCTGCAGGTGTGTGTGTGTTATACCTGTCTGTCTCTGTGCAGGTGTGTGTGTGTGTGAGTTGAACCTGTCTGTCTCTCTGCAGGTGTGTGTGTGTGTGAGTTGAACCTGTCTGTCTCTTTGCAGGTGTGTGTTGAACATGTCTGTCTCTCTACAGGTGTGTGTGTGTGTTGAACCTGTCTGTCTCTCTGCAGGTGTGTGTGTGTGTGTGTGTGTGTTGAACCTGTCTGTCTCTCTGCAGTGTGTGTGTGTGTGTGTGTGTGTGTTGAACCTGTCTGTCTCTCTGCAGGTGTGTGTGTGTTGAACATGTCTTTGTTTCTGCAGGTGTGTGTGTGTGTGTTGAACTTGTCTGTCTCTCTGCAGGTGTGTGTGTGTGTGTTGAACTTGTCTGTCTCTCTGCAGGTGTGTGTGTGTTGAACCTGTCTGTCTCTCTGCAGGTGTGTGTTGAACCTGTCTGTCTCTCTGCAGGTGTGTGTGTGTTGAACCTGTCTGTCTCTCTGCAGGTGTGTGTGTGTTGAACCTGTCTGTCTCTCTGCAGGTGTGTGTGTGTGTGTGTGTTGAACCTGTCTGTCTCTCTGCAGGTGTGTGTGTGTGTTGAACCTGTCTGTCTCTCTGCAGGTGTGTGTGTGTTATACCTGTCTGTCTCTGTGCAGGTGTGTGTGTGAGTTGAACCTGTCTGTCTCTCTGCAGGTGTGTGTGTGTGTTATACCTGTCTGTCTCTGTGCAGGTGTGTGTGTGTGTGAGTTGAACCTGTCTGTCTCTCTGCATGTCTCTCTGCAGGTGTGTGTGTGTTGCACCTGTCTGTCTCTTTGCAGGTGTGTGTGTGTTGAACATGTCTGTCTCTCTGCAGGTGTGTGTGTGTGTGTGTGTGTGTGTGTGTGTGTGTGTTGTGAACCTGTCTGTCTCTCTGCAGGTGTCTGTGTGTGTTGAACATGTCTTTGTGTGTGTGTGTGTGTGTGTGTGTGTGTGTGTGTGTTGAACCTGTCTGTCTCTCTGCAGGTGTGTGTTGAACCTGTCTTTCTCTCTGCAGGTGTGTGTGTGTTGAACTTGTCTGTCTCTCTGCAGGTGTGTGTTGAACCTATCTTTCTCTCTGCAGTGTGTGTGTGTGTGTGTGTGTGTGTGTGTGTTGAACCTGTCTGTCTCTCTGCAGGTGTGTGTGTGTTGAACCTGTCTGTCTCTCTGCAGGTGTGTGTGTGTTGAACCTGTCTGTCTCTCTGCAGGTGTGTGTGTGTGTTGAACCTGTCTGTCTCTCTGCAGGTGTGTGTGTGTGTTGAACCTGTCTGTCTCTCTGCAGGTGTGTGTGTTGAATCTTCTCTTCGTGCTGTGTGTGGCGGTGGCTCTTCCCTGCAGGCGGTGGCGCCCCCTGCTGTCAGGAGTGTGTACAGTCTGGACGTGTGTGCTGACTGTCTGTAAGATGTTGTACCAGCTCAATGTAGTTCAGCCAATCAGATACTCCTCCAACTGCACCACGGTAACCATGGAAACACTTACTGGAAATCTCTTTTTGTTCTTAAATGACCTCACAGATACTCAGGTAACAATGTCACACCTGTTTGCTTCTTTACAGCCAGGTAACTCCAGCACAGACCTGTCTCACTCTGTTTTGTACTCTGGTCCAGTTGACCCCGCCCAGTGGGTGGGGCTTCGCAAGACAGATGGAAAACTGCTTTACTACCTGAAAGTAAGATGTGACATCACAACCATACTTACCTTGGTCAGACTGTAGGCTCTCTTTGCTTAGCTTAATGCTAACACAAACCCTTCACAACTTAGCATTGTGCTAACTTGTCTCTCCAGTATAACCTCATGATGTTAGCACTGCTAGCCTTCGAGGTGACAGTTTACCGACACCAGGAGCTTTACCGTCTTCGCCATGACCAAGTCCCGCCCTCAACAAGAACCTTGTTTCATGACATCACCAGGCGTCAGTTAGATGACAGCCTGATGAGCTGTGTTAAGTACTTCCTGAACTACTTCTTCTACAAGTTTGGACTTGAGGTGAGATGCTCACATATTAGCATTAGCATAGCATCAAGCTAAACTTTCTCTGTTTAGTGCTTCTCAACTCTTCTTCTCCTCAGACCTGCTTCCTGTTGGCTGTGAACGTGATTGGTCAACGGATGGATCTCTTTGCTGCATGTCAAGCTCTCGGCCTCATCACTGTCCTATCACAGCGCAGCAGGAAGCGCATCAGCTCTGTGTGGCCTAAGTACTGCTACTTCCTGTCAGGGCTGTTGTGTTTCCAGTACCTGGTGTGTATTGGATTCCCTCCGGCGACATGTAAAGGTACAAACTCACCTGTAGAGTTAATGTGACCTGTACAGGTACTGACTGACCTGTAGAGCTAAGGACACAGTTGAGCTAAGCTAAAATTTCCTCCTGCTACATGTCGTTGTGCTTAGTGCTAAGCTAACTGTTTCCCCTTGTTTTAAACTCTGTGTGGGTTTCATTTTCAGATTATCCTTGGAGACCTCCATCCTCAAACGTGGACTCCAATGTTGTTAAGTGGCTCTTCCTCCCGGATCACCTAACACCACCAAACCCACTCTTCCTCCTCTGTAAGATCATCCTCACCAGATTTCTCTCAGCTCCACTTCATGTTCAAAAGAAAAATATCCATAGATTCAAAGGAACAACCTGCCGACACTTATATCTTCACAGGGTTTACATCACTTATCAAAGAGCTCAATCCATACCTGCTTTATATCCTGAAATCAAAGTCAAAATGGATTCTTTTTATAAATTATTTTTTTAAGATGAATTCATAAATTGTGGAGTTGGTGCTTCAGTAAAAACAGATGTTGAAGTGTATTTCTTAGTGTCAGGGTTACATATATTATTAGAGATTATATACAGATAATATATACAGATTAAATACATCAAATCATAACATTCAGGTTTTTAGGGTTAGGGTTAGTGGATTTGAAAGTGACCACAAGGCCAGAAAAACAAGATTAAAATCTAATTTTAATCTTTAATTGTTTTGATGACCAAGTTTTACAAACCTGGACATTTGGATTTGTTCTTCAATATAATGAAAATGCAAATTCACATATGTTCAGATCAAAGTTTGTTCACTGATATTTTCCTGATCTCTCAGACGACTTCATGCTCCTCCTCGGAGCTTCCCTGCAGCTGCAAGTGTTTGAGGAGGAGCTCGAGGCGTCGGTTCAGCTCCTTGCAGGAGATAACTGTGAGCTGGATGAAGATGAAGGACATGTCTGTGATCCAATCCGAAAGCTTCATGTCAGTACGGTCCCTGACTTTATGATGTGCAGGTAAACACTGCCCTCTGTGCACCTGTCACTCTGTCTTCCTGTTGACCTGTTTCTCTGTCTGACCCCTGACCTCTGGCTGTGCAGGTCTTATCTGGATATGATGAAGGTGATCATCTTCTGTTACATGTTCTGGTTTGTCCTCACTGTCATCTTCATCACTGGGACCACCAGGTGAGTGGGTGGAGCAACAGGTACCTTAAACATTTTTAACATGTTTCCCCAAAATGTAGGCTCAGTATGTCCTGTCCCGGTGACAGGTGTCTACTTCCTGTTCTAGGATCAGTATGTCCTGTCCCGGTGACAGGTGTCTACTTCCTGTTCTAGGATCAGTATGTCCTGGGTCGGTGACAGGTGTCTACTTCCTGTTCTAGGATCAGTATGTCCTATCCCGGTGACAGGTGTCTACTTCCTGTTCTAGGATCAGTATGTCCTGGTGACAGGTGTCTACTTCCTGTTCTGGGATCAGTATGTCCTGTCCCGGTGACAGGTGTCTACTTCCTGTTCTAGGATCAGTATGTCCTATCCCGGTGACAGGTGTCTACTTCCTGTTCTAGGATCAGTATGTCCTGGTGACAGGTGTCTACTTCCTGTTCTAGGATCAGTATGTCCTGTCCCGGTGACAGGTGTCTACTTCCTGTTCTAGGATCAGTATGTCCTGTCCCGGTGACAGGTGTCTACTTCCTGTTCTAGGATCAGTATGTCCTGGGTCGGTGACAGGTGTCTACTTCCTGTTCTAGGATCAGTATGTCCTGTCCCGGTGACAGGTGTCTACTTCCTGTTCTAGGATCAGTATGTCCTGTCCCGGTGACAGGTGTCTACTTCCTGTTCTAGGATCAGTATGTCCTGGGTCGGTGACAGGTGTCTACTTCCTGTTCTAGGATCAGTATGTCCTGGTGACAGGTGTCTACTTCCTGTTCTAGGATCAGTATGTCCTGTCCCCGTGACAGGTGTCTACTTCCTGTTCTAGGATCAGTATGTCCTATCCCGGTGACAGGTGTCTACTTCCTGTTCTGGGATCAGTATGTCCTGTCCCGGTGACAGGTGTCTACTTCCTGTTCTAGGATCAGTATGTCCTATCCCGGTGACAGGTGTCTACTTCCTGTTCTAGGATCAGTATGTCCTATCCCGGTGACAGGTGTCTACTTCCTGTTCTAGGATCAGTATGTCCTGGTGACAGGTGTCTACTTCCTGTTCTAGGATCAGTATGTCCTATCCCGGTGACAGGTGTCTACTTCCTGTTCTAGGATCAGTATGTCCTGTCCCGGTGACAGGTGTCTACTTCCTGTTCTAGGATCAGTATGTCCTGTCCGGTGACAGGTGTCTACTTCCTGTTCTGGGATCAGTATGTCCTATCCCGGTGACAGGTGTCTACTTCCTGTTCTGGGATCAGTATGTCCTGGGTCGGTGACAGGTGTCTACTTCCTGTTCTAGGATCAGTATGTCCTGTCCCGGTGACAGGTGTCTACTTCCTGTTCTGGGATCAGTATGTCCTGTCCCAGTGACAGGTGTCTACTTCCTGTTCTGGGATCAGTATGTCCTGTCCCGGTGACAGGTGTCTACTTCCTGTTCTGGGATCAGTATGTCCTGTCCCGGTGACAGGTGTCTACTTCCTGTTCTGGGATCAGTATGTCCTATCCCGGTGACAGGTGTCTACTTCCTGTTCTAGGATCAGTATGTCCTGTCCCGGTGACAGGTGTCTACTTCCTGTTCTAGGATCAGTATGTCCTGTCCCGGTGACAGGTGTCTACTTCCTGTTCTGGGATCAGTATGTCCTATCCCGGTGACAGGTGTCTACTTCCTGTTCTAGGATCAGTATGTCCTGGGTCGGTGACAGGTGTCTACTTCCTGTTCTAGGATCAGTATGTCCTGTCCCGGTGACAGGTGTCTACTTCCTGTTCTGGGATCAGTATGTCCTGTCCCGGTGACAGGTGTCTACTTCCTGTTCTGGGATCAGTATGTCCTGGGTCGGTGACAGGTGTCTACTTCCTGTTCTGGGATCAGTATGTCCTGGGTCGGTGACAGGTGTCTACTTCCTGTTCTAGGATCAGTATGTCCTGTCCCGGTGACAGGTGTCTACTTCCTGTTCTGGGATCAGTATGTCCTATCCCGGTGACAGGTGTCTACTTCCTGTTCTGGGATCAGTATGTCCTGGGTCGGTGACAGGTGTCTACTTCCTGTTCTAGGATCAGTATGTCCTGTCCCGGTGACAGGTGTCTACTTCCTGTTCTGGGATCAGTATGTCCTATCCCGGTGACAGGTGTCTACCCTGTTCTAGGATCAGTATGTCCTGTCCCGGTGACAGGTGTCTACCCTGTTCTAGGATCAATATGTCCTGTCCCGGTGACAGGTGTCTACTTCCTGTTCTGGGATCAGTATGTCCTATCCCGGTGACAGGTGTCTACTTCCTGTTCTAGGATCAGTATGTCCTATCCCGGTGACAGGTGTCTACTTCCTGTTCTAGGATCAGTATGTCCTGTCCCGGTGACAGGTGTCTACCCTGTTCTAGGATCAGTATGTCCTGTCCTGGTGACAGGTGTCTACTTCCTGTTCTAGGATCAGTATGTCCTTGTGACAGGTGTCTACTTCCTGTTCTAGGATCAGTATCTTCTGTATGGGTTACCTGGTGGCCTGTTTCTACTTCCTGCTGGTGGGCGGAGACTTGCTGCTGAAACCAGTCAGATCCATCCTGTTGTACTGGGACTGTCTGATTGGTTACAACGTGTTCGTCATCACCATGAAGAATATTCTGTCGGTGAGATAAGTCATTACCCGATCAAGAATATTTTTATAATTATTATTTTTTGAGAACTAAGAGGTGTGTGCGTGTGCGTGTGCGTGTGCGTGTGCGTGTGCGTGTGCGTGTGCGCGTGTCTCTCTCTCAGATCCTGGCCTGTGGTTTCATTAAGTCGTTGGTCTTGAATCACTGTTGGTTGATTCAGCTCTTCTCATTGGCCTGCACCATCAAAGGATACACTAAACGTATGTCTGTCCATCTACCTGTCTCACTGTCTGTCTCTCTGTCTACCTGTGTTGTTTACTTGTTTTTGTTTATGTTTGTTTAACTTGGTGCAGCGGAGCAGCAGAGCAGTAAACAGTGTGAGTTGCCGAGCGACGAGGCGGGGATCATCTGGGACGGTGTATGTTTCTGTTTCCTGTTACTGCAGAGACGAGTCTTCAGGAGCAACTACTTCCTGTTTGTGGTCCTGGACCTGCAACACACACAACTACTGGCCTCCAGGTACACACACACACATACACACACATACGGTTCAGACGGCTTGCCTCCCCCCACCCCCTTGCTCCCTATCCCTCTTCCTGCATCTCATCCCATCTCTCCCCCTATCCCTTTCCAACCCCGGTGCAGTCTAGACCTGTGAAGGCTGTTTCGTCATGAGCCGGGGATCCAGCCGAAGATTTCTGCCTTTTAATAAGAACGTTTTTTCTTATCACTGTAACTTTTGCTGCTTTGCTAAAGTGCTCATGATGGATAGACCGGGTCTTCGTTATATAACAATGAGTAAGGTCTTTTACCTGCTTTTTGTAAGATAACAATGAGTAAGGTCTTTTACCTCCTTTTTGTGTCTCGAGATAACACTTGTTATGAGTTGACAAATAAAAATTGATTGATTGATTGATTGATGACACATCAACATGATGTGACGGCATGTGTGTTGCAGGGGGGCGGAGCTCTTCCAGGCGTCCACAGTGAAAGCTGTCAGGGCCAGACTCGAGGATGAGAAGACGTCCATGGATCTGCTGAAGAGACAGTAAGACTCAAACCCAGACCAACCATCAGATTCAGACCATCATGTCCAGAACATGAGGTCCAGACCATCGGGTATAAGCCCTCAGGTCCAGACCATTAGGTCCAGACAATCAGGTCCAGAACATCAGGTTCAGACAATCAGGTTCAGACACTCAGCAGTAGCCCAACAGGTCCAGACACATCAGTTCAGACCTTCAGGTCTAGACCATTATGAGCAGACCAACAGACTCAGACCAGCTGAATGTTTGCACACATTTACCTAGAGAGACTAGAGGGACTAGCTAGAGACTAGAGGGACTAAATAAACTGAGGAACTAGAAAGCGTAGAGGAAGTATAGAGACAAGAGGAACTATAGAGAACACTAGAGAGAATCTAGACTCTAGAGAGATTGGGGGGACTAGTTAGATTAGAGAGACTAGAGGAACTATAGAGACCACTAGAGAGAATGTAGACTCTACAGAGACTGGGGGGACTAGAGGAACTATAGAGACCACTAGAGAGAATGTAGACTCTACAGAGACTGGGGGGACTAGAGGAACTATAGAGACCACTAGAGAGAATGTAGACTCTACAGAGACTGGGGGACTAGAAGAACTATAGAGATCACTAGAGAGAATGTAGACTCTACAGAGACTGGGGGGATTAGAGGAACTATAGAGACCACTAGAGAGAATGTAGACTCTACAGAGACTGGGGGGACTAGTTGGACTAGAACCTGTCTACCTGACTTGGACTTGTGTGTGTTCCTTTAGGATGGAGAGGATTAAATCTCGACAGCAGAAGTTCCGCAGAGGAAAAGAGAAGATGTTGAGTTTGACCCAAGAAGGCTTCCGTACTGATGGTGTGTAAACAAAGCTGTTGCCGTGGAGACAGTGTGTGATACACAGCTGTCAATCAAAGTTTAACTGTTGATGTGCCTTAAAGGTCAAGAGAATAAGAAGAAGGGACAGAGACAGAAGGAGTGGTGGAGGCCCTGGGTAAACCACGCCTCAAGTGAGTTACATGACCTTTCTGTCTGTCTGTCTGTCTGACTGCCTGTCTGTCTGTCTGTGTGTCTGTCTGTCTGTCTGACTGCCTGTCTGTCTGTCTGTGTGTCTGTGTGTGTGTGTGTCTGTCTGTCTGTCTGTCTGTCTGTCTGTGTGACTGCCTGTCTGTCTGTGTGTCTGTCTGACTGTCTGTCTGTCTGTCTGTCTGACTGCCTGTCTGTCTGTCTGTGTGTCTGTCTGACTGCCTGTCTGTCTGTCTGTGTGACTGCCTGTCTGTCTGTGTGTCTGTCTGTCTGACTGTCTGTCTGTCTGTCTGTCTCTCTGTCTGTCTGTCTGTCTGTCTGTCTGTCTGTCTGTGTGTGTCTGTCTGTCTGTCTGTCTGTCTGTGTGACTGCCTGTCTGTCTGTGTGTCTGTCTGACTGTCTGTCTGTCTGTCTGACTGCCTGTCTGTCTGTCTGTGTGTGTCTGTCTGTCTGTCTGTCTGTCTGTCTGTGTGACTGCCTGTCTGTCTGTGTGTCTGTCTGACTGTCTGTCTGTCTGTCTGACTGCCTGTCTGTCTGTCTGACTGACTGACTGACTGCCTGTCTGTCTGTCTGTCTGCAGTGGTAAGGAGTGGGGATTATTACCTGTTTGAGACTGACAGTGAGGAGGAGGAGGAGGAGGAGGAGAAAAAAGGGGAGGAGCCACCTGAGAAATCAGCCTTCCAGGTGAGTGTGGTGATTGTGTTGTGATCTGCTCAGACTCTTCAGATAACAGGTGAGTAGAATCAGAGATGCTGAATACGTCCTTAATCCGTTCAATGTTAATTATCAGCGTTATCTCTTTCATTTAAAAGTGATTTTTGATACACAGATGTGTAGATTGTAGCTGCTGTAGTGGTCTGACAGATGTGTAGATTGTAGCTGTGGTGGTCTGACAGATGTGTAGATTGTAGCTGCTGTGGTGGTCTGACAGATGTGTAGATTGTAGCTGTGGTGGTCTGACAGATGTGTAGATTGTAGCTGTGGTGGTCTGACAGATGTGTAGATTGTAGCTGCTGTGGTGGTCTGACAGATGTGTAGATTGTAGCTGTGGTGGTCTGACAGATGTGTAGATTGTAGCAGCTGTGGTGGTCTGACAGATGTGTAGATTGTAGCTGCTGTGGCGGTCTGACAGATGTGTAGATTGTAGCTGCTGTGGTGGTCTGACAGATGTGTAGATTGTAGCTGCTGTGGCGGTCTGACAGATGTGTAGATTGTAGCTGTGATGGTCTGACAGATGTGTAGATTGTAGCTGTGGTGGTCTGACAGATGTGTAGATTGTAGCTGTGATGGTCTGACAGATGTGTAGATTGTAGCTGTGGTGGTCTGACAGATGTGTAGATTGTAGCTGCTGTAGTGGTCTGACAGATGTGTAGATTGTAGCTGTGGTGGTCTGACAGATGTGTAGATTGTAGCTACTGTGTTGGTCTGACAGATGTGTAGATTGTGGTGGTCTGACAGATGTGTAGATTGTAGCTGCTGTTGTGGTCTGACAGATGTGAAGATTGTGGTGGTCTGACAGATGTGTAGATTGTAGCTGCTGTTGTGGTCTGACAGATGTGAAGATTGTGGTGGTCTGACAGATGTGTAGATTGGAGCTGTAGTGGTCTGACAGATGTGTAGATTGTAGCTGCTGTTGTGGTCTGACAGATGTGAAGATTGTGGTGGTCTGACAGATGTGTAGATTGTAGCTGCTGTTGTGGTCTGACAGATGTGAAGATTGTGGTGGTCTGACAGATGTGTAGATTGTAGCTGCTGTTGTGGTCTGACAGATGTGAAGATTGTGGTGGTCTGACAGATGTGTAGATTGTAGCTGCTGTTGTGGTCTGACAGATGTGAAGATTGTGGTGGTCTGACAGATGTGTAGATTGGAGCTGCTGTGGTGGTCTGACAGATGTGAAGATTGTGGTGGTCTGACAGATGTGTAGATTGGAGCTGCTGTGGTGGTCTGACAGATGTGAAGATTGTGGTGGTCTGACAGATGTGTAGATTGGAGCTGTGGTGGTCTGACAGATGTGTAGATTGTAGCTGCTGTAGTGGTCTGACAGATGTGTAGATTGTAGCTGTAGTGGTCTGACAGATGTGTAGATTGTAGCTGTAGTGGTCTGACAGATGTGTAGATTGTAGCTGCTGTAGTGGTCTGACAGATGTGTAGATTGTAGCTGCTGTGTTGGTCTGACAGATGTGTAGATTGTGTCTGCTGTGGTAGATTTTGTGTAATGTTTTCTGAGTATCATGGCCTCTAAAGAACTCACATTTTAAGAAGCTGATGTTTTTGTTGTGTGATTGACCGGTCAAAGTTTATATAAAATTTCTTCATTTGAATCAGCTGATCCAACATACACAAGTGGTTCGTTATGTATAGAGGCTGTAGTCCTCCAAGCGGTTGGCCCGGGCTCGAATCCAACCATTGGGCTCCTTTCCCGCATTTCATTCCCCCCTCTGTGCTGTGGATGGGACAGGAGCAGCCTCACAAAGATCTGAGCACAAATGGGATCCAAGTCTGTCAAGGTGAAAAACCATGTGATGTCATCTTTTGTCTGTTTGCCAGTTTGTCTATCACGCCTGGATTACAGACTCCAGAACAGCTATGAGAGCGCGCATAAACCAAAAAAAACTGAGGAAGAAGACTTCCTGTGAACCAAGGAGCAGGAAGGAGGAGCCCCGAGGAGGTGAGCAGGATGACGTCTGAATCATGTTCATTTATTCTTTACTCTGATAGTTCTGTCGTCCAAACTAAAAACATCGATTTATTGAAGCCCCCCCCCCATCACCCTCACATTCAGATCAGATCACTCCGCGTTCCACCAGAACAATCTTTTGCAGATTAGAGATTAAATCAAATGAACTTCTCGACATTCTACAATTCTACAATTCACTTAGCAGACGCTTTTATCCAAAGCGACGTACATCAGAGAGTAAGTACAACACAAGCAGGGATCTAGAAAAAAGGAACAATGTGAGTAAGAGCAAACGATCAGCTTTGAGTCTGATTGGACACACAGGTGCTGACAGGAAGTGACCAGAGGCAAAGCACAACATTGACAGCAGTTCTTGAGAGCTCTAATCAGTATAGAAACCATCTTATAAGTCATCGTTATCAAACAAAAACAATCGTGACAACCATCATCATCATCAATGATATCGAAACCATCATCATTAAGTTAGTAGGTATTCATGAAAGAGCTGGGTCTTTAGCTTTTTCTTAAAGGTGCAGAGGGACTCTGCAGATCGAATGGAGTTTGGAAGTTCATTCCACCACCGGGGGGCGACAGAGGAGAAGAGTCTAGTCAGAGACTTAGGACCCTGTTGTGAAGGTTGGATCAGATGCCTTTCATTGGCAGAGCGTAGTGGGGGGGAGGGAGTGTAGACCTGGATGAGAGAGTTAAACTAAGGAGGAGCCGTTTTAGTCGCTGTTTTGTAAGCGAGCAGCAGAGTTTCAAATTTGATGCCAGTGTAAGGAGATGAACAGCGGAGTAACATGTGCTCTTTTAGGAAGGTTGAAGACCAGATGTGCTGCTGCATTGTGTATCATTTGCAGAGGTTTGATAGTGCATGTAGGAAGACCTGCCAGTAGAGAGTTGCAATAGTCGATGTGTAATATCACAAGAGCCTGTACCAGGAGCTGTATAGCGTGTTCTGACAGGTAAGGTCTGATCTTCCTGATGTTGTACAGGGCAAATCGACATGACCGGGCAATCGAAGCTACTTGAACCTTAAAAGTTAGCTGGTCATCAATCATGACACCCAGGTTCCGGGCAGACTTTGTGAGCATGAGTTTGGTTGTTCCAAGCTGGATATTGATCTGTGGTTGCATAGAGGGACTGGCTGGGATGACAAGGAGCTCAGTCTTTGAAAGATTGAGTTGAAGGAGCCGTTCATTCATCCATTTAGAGATATCAGCAAGGCATGATGAGATTCTTGCAGAGACTGTAACATCGTCTGGCGGGAATGAGAGGAAGAGCTGGGTATCGTCAGCATAGCAGTGGTATGAGAAGCCATGAGAACCAAGTGAGCTTGTGTATGTGGAGAAGAGAAGGGGACCAAGCACTGACCCTTGAGGTACCCCTGTGGATAAGCTGTGCGCTTTGGACACTTCTCCCTTCCACGACACTCTAAAGGATCGCCCAGAGAGGTAGGACACGAACCAGCAGAGGGCAGATCCTGAGATGTTCAGAGAGCGTGGACAGGAGGATTTGATGGTTGACTGTGTCAAAGGCAGCAGACAGGTCTAGCAGAAAGGGCAGAAGAGAAACCGGTCTGTAGTTTTCAGCCTGGGCTGGGTTTAGTGTGGGTTTTTTGAGCAGAGGGGTGACCCGAGATTGCTTGAATGTGGTGGGGAACACACCCGTTGACAGAGAGGAGTTGATGATATGCTTAAGTGCAGCAGTAAGCAGAGAGGAAATGGTCTGCGGGAGGCTTGATGGTATTGGGTCCAGAGGACAGGTGGTGGGCCGAGAGTCTAGCACAAGCTTAGAGACTTCATCCTCAGTCAGAGAGGAGAATGAGTCGAGTGAGGCACTTTTGGTTGGTGCCTTCGGGCTGAGTTGGTCAGGCTCAGAAAACTGGTTACTGATGGTTGCAACCTTTTCAGTAAAATACGAGGCAAACATGTCTGGTGTGAACAGATTGGAGGGTGGAGGAGGTGGTTGAAGCAGTGAGTTAAAAGCAGAAAACATTTTTCTTGTATCTGTGGCATTGCATCTGATAATATGTTGTCTTGGCCGTTTTCAAGCTGGAGGAGAATGAGACAAGTCTTTGCTTATAGTCATTGAGGTCAGCGGACTGTTTGGATTTTTGTCATTTTCTCTCTGCTGACCTCAGCCCTGCTCTTTGCTCTCTTATGACTTCTGTGAGCCATGGGCGAGGGTGGGTTTTGTGAGCGGGTTTGGACACCAGAGGGCAGAGCTTGTTCAGAGATGAGGTTAGTGTGGAGCAGAGTGTGTCTGTAGCCTCGTCTGTAGAGAGTGTGTCTGTAGAGAGTGTGTCTGTAGCCTCGTCTGTAGAGAGTGTGTCTGTAGCCTCGTCTGTAGAGAGTGTGTCTGTAGCCTCGTCTGTAGAGAGTGTCTGTAGCCCCGTCTGTAGAGAGTGTGTCTGTAGAGAGTGTGTCTGTAGCCTCGTCTGTAGAGAGTGTGTCTGTAGCCTCGTCTGTAGAGAGTGTGTCTGTAGCCCCGTCTGTAGAGAGTGTGTCTGTAGCCTCGTCTGTAGAGAGTGTGTCTGTAGAGAGTTTGTCTGTAGCCTCGTCTGTAGAGAGTGTGTCTGTAGCCTCTTCTGTAGAGAGTGTGTCTGTAGAGAGTGTGTCTGTAGCCTCGTCTGTAGAGAGTGTGTCTGTAGAGAGAGTGTCTGTAGCCTCGTCTGTAGAGAGTGTGTCTGTAGAGAGCGTGTCTGTAGCCTCGTCTGTAGAGAGTGTGTCTGTAGCCTCTTCTGTAGAGAGTGTGTCTGTAGCCTCGTCTGTAGAGAGTGCGTCTGTAGCCTCTTCTGTAGAGAGAGTGTCTGTAGCCTCGTCTGTAGCGAGTGTGTCTGTAGAGAGAGTGTCTGTAGCCTCGTCTGTAGTGAGTGTGTCTGTAGAGAGTGTGTCTGTAGCCTCGTCTGTAGAGAGTGTGTCTGTAGAGAGTGTGTCTGTAGCCTCGTCTGTAGAGAGTGTGTCTGTAGAGAGTGTGTCTGTAGCCTCGTCTGTAGAGAGTGTGTCTGTAGCCTCGTCTGTAGAGAGAGTGTCTGTAGCCTCGTCTGTAGCGAGTGTGTCTGTAGAGAGAGTGTCTGTAGCCTCGTCTGTAGCGAGTGTGTCTGTAGAGAGAGTGTCTGTAGCCTCGTCTGTAGAGAGAGTGTCTGTAGCCTCGTCTGTAGCGAGTGTGTCTGTAGAGAGAGTGTCTGTAGCCTCGTCTGTAGAGAGAGTGTCTGTAGCCTCGTCTGTAGCGAGTGTGTCTGTAGCCTCTTCTGTAGAGAGTGTGTCTGTAGCCTCATCTGTAGAGAGTGTGTCTGTAGCCTCGTCTGTAGAGAGTGCGTCTGTAGCCTCTTCTGTAGAGAGTGTGTCTGTAGCCTCGTCTGTAGCGAGTGTGTCTGTAGAGAGAGTGTCTGTAGCCTCGTCTGTAGAGAGTGCGGTAAAGACCTTTTGGGCAGGCATGGCAGCCATTACCTGGTTAGACAGCTGAGCTGGCTTGAGCGATCGCATGTTTTGGTGGTATGACACCATTTGTGGCTGAGGGAGTTCCAGCAGGAGATTGTGAATTAAATAAAGAAGTGGTCTGATAGATGTAGAGGGGTGACAGTCAGGTTTGCTGTCGAGCAGTTCCAAGTCGGGATTAAATCAAGAGTGTTGCCAGCTTTGTGGGTAGGAGGAGTTGGGACCTGCATGAGGTCAAATGAGGATAGGAGAGCAAGGAACTCTGTTGCCTGGGCTTTATCAGTGTGTACATTCATGTCTCCCATTACAATCAGTGGTGTTCCATCATCAGGGATTTCTGAGAGTAGCATGTCCAGTTCCACAACAAAATCATTCAGATTACACCCTGGTGGGCGGTAAATGATAGCAATGTACATTTTAATAGGAGCAGTAACCAGATTGTAAGATTGTGTGATATTCAAATGAGGAGTTGTTGCTCAGTGGGAAGAGTTTATTGAATTTCCAGGTATTAGAAATGAGGATACCTGTACCACCTCCACGTCCAACAGAGCGGGGTGTGTGTGAGAACACTGTGTCAACAGAAAGAGCAGCTGGTGTATTTTCTGGGCGGATCCAGGTTTCAGTAAGGGCAAGTGCCTGAATGTCTGACATTTTTGCAAGTGCTTGGATGAATTCAGTTTTATTCACAGCAGATTGACAGTTCCAGAGGCCAAAAGTAGTGATGTGAAAAGCAGTTCTTTTCAGTGTACTGAATCAGTAGAATCAGTTCAGAAAAGTGATTCGTTCAAAAGATTCGTTCACCGAATCGTTCAGTACTTCTCTGCAGCTCTGTCTGTGAATCAGATTTTAATAAGCTGAAACACGGCCGAACGTTTAGTTCTGCTCGCGATCGTTCTGAGAACAGCCGGTGGTGAATAATAAACCAATGAGCTGAGAATTTAGTTGGATAAAGCCACAGTTTGCAAACTGAAAGCTGCTAAAACAATCACATTTATTTTCCCCGACCGTTCTGTTTAGTACGTTCAGTACACAAATCACTCAATGACTGTCTGACTGAGAGGGAGAGAGAGGAGGCGGAGCTCTCATTCAGCTCGTTCACTGAACGAACTGAACGAGAGCTCCGCTCTTCCTCTCAGTTCGTTCAGTGATTCATGTCGGAGCTCTCGTTCAGTTCGTTCACTGAACGAAATGAACGGGAGCTCCGCCTCCGAGTCACTCTTCTCCTCTCAGTTCATTCAGTAATTCACGTCGGAGCTCTTCCTCTCAGTTCGTTCAGTGAACGTGAACAAGCGAGACTGCGAGTCACCAGCCTCAGTCACACACACACACTGTACTGACTGAAACATGATCGTTAGTAGATGTTAAAACAGTCAGCTGAGTTAAATTAAGTTGGATATAAAAGCCGTTTGTAAACTGACAACAGATATAAAAAGCACAAACATTTTCGCGACACCTAAATGTTAAATAATATATTTTCTACTTCCTCAATTTTGGAGACATGAGAGGGAGAAGTAGGGGCAAGCTTTAGCGACTCAGAGCTCCTGACCGACTCCGTCCTGTTGGTTCAGTCAGTAGGTATCACTGACATGAAAGGGAGAGGGAGGGCGGGCTTTGAGAGACTCTTACGGTCTGGAGAGAGAGACACGAGACGGGAGAGAGGAGAGCGCAACTGAAGTTGAGAAATGAACGACTCTTTTCAGTAAGTGATTCAGTTCAGTTCGTTCACCCAGATGATTTGTTCGTTTTGAACGAATCATTCATGACCGACACATCACTAGCCAAAAGTAAGTGAAGGGTGGGTAGAAGTGGCTTTCTTAAGCAGAGCCAAGTTGTAAAGATTTCGTCGTCTATGACAGATGTGTCTTTTCCGGTTCCCATGAATGACAGAGATTTCTTTGTAGCACATGTTGCGTTTAGCAGATGACCAGAGAAAATAGGCAAAGTAGTAGTCGTGGATGGGTCCACGCTGAAGCGTCAGACACGTCCTAGTTTTCAGATCAGAGCTTGTTCTGCAGTTTCGGATTCAGACTCTTTTAAGTTTGGATTTTCGTGAAAATCCCGCCCCAGATTTTCAGCTTGCAATCAACAGAGGGTGTGACACGCGTCAACTGCCTCTCCTGTTGATGCTCAGAGAATGAAACTTAAGTCTCAGTCCAAACAAAGTCTGACAACGACCTACTATCAATATCTACTCAAAGCAAGTTTTGATTTACCCACCTAGCTGACAAAACCTTCCTAGTTTTCAGATCAGAGCTTGTTCTGACATTCAAACGTTTCTCTGTGACTACAGGAAGCAGGAGTTCAGACTTCCTGTTTTCCTTTAAGGGTCATTAAGAGAACAGAGTCATCTGCATACAGTTTTAACCTGACGCAGCTTACAATGACTCCTCCCCTCTGCAGCTGCTGGACTCATAGAGGTCACAGAGGAGAACGAGGAGGAGGAGCAAGAGGAGGAAGAGGAGGAACCAGGTAGGAGGATGCAATCAAAGGTCCTTTGTAAGTGCAGATGCTCCACTCTGTAACACATTCGAAGAATCAGTGTTTTTTTTATAGTTCCAACTGAACGAGGGCTCTTAGCCTGTTAGCCTGTTAGCCTGTTTGATTCATTTCAAATAGGTTTATTATTATTTTATTTCATAGAACTAAGTTTGTGTAAAAGGATAAGTGTTTAAACACTTCACATAAACAACAAGATAGCACACACACATTTCAAATTACACATCCAAAAGGCAGTGAAGCTTGTAAAACATAAAGAAAGAATAATGTAAAAAGTAAACAGTTTGTTCTTGAGTGTGATGGATGGAAACATACGGGCCAAATGAAATGTTGAAGTTAAGGTTTGGAACGGATTCTAAACGCTTTCACTTTTATTAAGTAAAGTCTAATAATGGTAAAACACGATGCGTTGTTTAACGTCAGGTGACCCGTGTGTTTCAGACACCGTGCTGCGTCGGTTCTCCAACACGCTGAGGTTCTGTTGGGTTCTGCTGTCGGCTCTCCTGGACTCTCTGACCACCTGGCTCAGCGGTCTGTGTCAGGAACACATTGACATCTCAGCTGTTCTCCGCATAGAGCGCTGCATGCTAATGCAGCAGGCTAAGCAGGTACAGCAGGCGGATATGATAGAACTACAACCAGGATGGAGGATGGATAAGATAGAACTACAACAAAGCTGTTTCCTGTTTCATGATGGTTTGTTTGTTTGTTCAGGGTCTCGTTCCCAGCAGAGACGCCATCCACCTCTACTACCAAGAACAGATGATACACACCTCCACAGAGTCTGGTCTGGACTCCATTACCCATGAGGCTGCAGGGGAAAACTCAGCAGGAAGAGAGGCAGAGGAAGGGGAGGGAGGAGTGAGTCCTGATACAGACAAAGAAATGAAACCAGGAGAGAATCCTGAATCTGAATCAGCATCAGGAGGAGGTCCAAAACCAGAACTAGAGTCAGGAATAGACGGTCCAGGTGAAACTACACCTGAAACCAAACCTGAACCTGAATCGGAATCAGGACCAGGACCAGGACCAGAACCAGAACCAGAACCAGAACCAGAACCAGAACCAGCACCAGAAACAAGAGCGGATGACCCAGAAAACGAAACAGCAGAGGACCCATTGTCAGGAGTTAGAGTAGAGAGGTCAGAGAGTTTAGAGGGCAACCCACCTGTTCAAGGTGAAGGTTACCCAGAATGCCTTGTGACTAACCGATGGCGACCCAAACTGTGCAGGATGGATAGAGTCAAATGTTCATGGTCCTCTTCAGAAGGAGAGACGATGAGTCGGACCCACAGGTTGGTGTTCATGAGGAACCCTAATGTACAGCTAAAGGTGTTGGCATGTTAGCATTTTAAGATAGCTACTTTGATTAGTGTTTAGTCAGTTGAAGATTATTTTAGCATTAGCTTAGCATTAGATCAGTTATATGGTATCAGTAATTGTCTCTGTCTCTTTGTACAGCACTGAAGATTCAGGTCAGCCACTTCCTGTTGACTCTCAGCGGACTCGAACCTTCATCGGTAACTCCCCCCTCTCCTCTCCAACCTCCCCCTCCTTTCTCCCCCTCCCCCCATCTTACAGTCTCAGTCTGGAACTGCAGGAGGAGGAGCATGGGAGGAGGAGTGGGGAGAGGTGTGACTTCCTGTCTGACTCTCACACTCAGGAACTGACAGCCAGTGAGCTGCTGAGGAACAGGTGAGTCCCAGGTGAGTCAAGGGGAACGATCACCTTCATCCTGCTGATGTTCAAGCTTCACTCTCTGTTTCAGGACATTCTACGCTGACCATCTGGAGGTGTCAGACCGTTTCTATGGAAACCAACACCAGCTGCTCCAGCTGGCCTACGCCCTCTACAACATCTTGGCTGCCAGGTAAGCTGACTCGTCAAAATAACGGGTGTGTGCAAGCTGCTGAGATACTGAGACGGTCCCTCCCTCAGGTCAGAAACGGTGTGTTACCTCGTCATCGTGCTGAACCACATGGTGTCCGCCAGCTGCCTGACACTTGTACTTCCTGTGCTTGTGTTCCTCTGGGCCACGCTGTCCGTCCCTCGGCCCAGTAAGACCTTCTGGATGACTGCTATCATCTACACCGAGGTGCCCACCACTGCACCGCTGTCACCTCCATCACTTCTGATCAGTCAGCAGATTGACTCCCTGTTGTCTGTCCTCAGGTCACCATCGTCATCAAGTACTTCTTCCAGTTCGGTTTCTTTCCCTTCAACCAGAAACTGGAGCTGGACCGCTCCAAACCCTTCCACCCACCCAACATCCTGGGCGTGGAGAAGAAGGAGGGCTACGTCCTGTACGACCTGCTGCAGCTGCTCACCCTCTTCTATCACCGTGCCATCCTCAAGGTAGACACACGGACATGCTCAGTTTAAAAGAAGTATACTTTCAAAAGTAACTTTGCTTCATGTTTGATCAAAACACACTTCTCCTCTACCCCCACAGTGCCACGGCCTTTGGGACCAGACTGTTTCTACAGAGCCAGACTATCTCCATCACCATGACAACCAAGCCACCTCAGGCCACAGTGCAACCTCTTTTGACCCCACCCACACTTTGCGACAGCGAGGCAGACAACAGACGCTATCTAGCTCCGCCCAGCTGCGCTCTTCTGCAGGTAGGAATTGAACACAACTTAACTACTCATACATTTAGAAAGACGTGATCTTGCCTGCCTCTTTTAAAGGCACAACACACCACAAACTCACACCTCGGTCTGTATAAAACATGGTCGTTGTCTCAGTGATGTCATCACTCCTACCCAATAAAAACAACCATGTGTAACTCAAAGATGCCACGCGCCCTAAATTCACATCACTTTAGGCCTTTATATGATGTAAACAGGTAAGTTGTATAAACCTTCAGCCTATGAGATCTGGAGACCATAACTTTTTTTGTACCAGGCTGTTGCCTGTGATGTATCATGTTGCCTTCACCAAAAGGGTTACTGCAGCACACTCACAGATGGTCAATCATTAAGTAGACTTAATCCATAGTGCACTTCAATCATAGTACACTTCAATCGTAGTGTACTTTATTCATAGTGCACTTCAATCATAGTACACTTCAATCATAGTGTACTTTATTCATAGTACACTTTATTCATAGTGCACTTTATTCATAGTGCACTTCAATCATAGTACACTTTATTCATAGTGCACTTTATTCATAGTGCACTTTAATCATAGTACACTTCAATCATAGTGTACTTCATTCATAGTACACTTTAATCATAGTACACTTCAATCATAGTGCACTTTCATAGTACACTTCAATCATAGTACACTTCAATCATAGTGCACTTTATTCATAGTGCACTTTATTCATAGTGCACTTTATTCATAGTGCACTTTATTCTTAGTGCACTTTATTCATAGTGCACTTTATTCATAGTGCACTTTATTCTTAGTGCACTTCAATCATAATACACTTTAATCATAGTGTACTTTATTCATAGTGCACTTCAATCATAGTGCACTTCAATCATAGTGTACTTTAATCATAGTGCACTTTAATCATAGTGCACTTTAATCATAGTGCACTTCAATCATAGTGCACTTCAATCATAGTGCACTTTAATCATAGTGCACTTCAGTCATAGTGTACTTCGTTCATAGTGCACTTCAATCATAGTGTACTTTATTCATAGTACACTATTAATCATAGTAACAAAGACAAAACTGTTTTTTTTTAGTGGGAGCCAAAGCTGCCAGAGAGAAACTTCAAATGCAGCTCGTGACACATTACAAACTTAATCCTCATTTGAACAAAGTCAAAAGCACATCCTTCTTTCATCTAAGAAACATTGCAAAAGTTAGACCGTTTTAATCGCAGAAAGACATTTTAATTCATGCTTTTATCACCAGTCGTATTGATTATTGCAATTCCCTTTTTTAACTGCAAGGTGTTGAGAACGCCACAGCCAGAGTCCTCACAAGAAAAAACAAATACAATCATGTAACTCCATTTTGAAAAACTGCACTGGCTCAAAGTTCTTGAATTGTTTTCAAAGCTTTCTTCAGCCTTGCTCCTCCATACATCTCTGGTCTTATTTCATCTGATGTTCCAGCCCGCTCTCTCAGGTCCTTCTCTCTCTCATATTTTATTCATTTTTTAACATAACAAACACAGAACAAGACAGCACAGACGTAGCCAAATTACTGAATAAAAAAAAAATATATATATATATATATATTTAATAAAATAATAATAACTTACATGGGTCGTAATAAAATATATCATATCAGATACAATCTTATCTACCTAAATTACATGTCAAAGGGAAAAACATGACTATGACATATTTTTGAAAATAAAGTGTGGGCACCCTTTCTGCAATAAGCCAACCAGATCAGTGGAAAGATAATCTATGAAGGGTTGCCAAATATTATAAAATAGGTTGTTATTTCCCTTTAATTTAGCACTGAGGTGTTCCATAGGAAGAACCTTAAATATTTCTCTGTACCACTGCATGACTGATGGAGGCTTCTCCTGAATCCACTGAAACAGAATACATCGCCTCGCTAGGAGCAGAAGTTTACCCATTAGAACGAGCTGTCCTGTTGATAGAGAGAACTGTTGCGTAGGTGAGTTCAGGAGAAACAATGCTGGCTCTAGTTTTATTGTTTTGTGAAAAATTAAGCCAAGCTCCTGGGCAACATTTTTCCAATACCTGGATATTAAGGGACATTGCCAAACACAGTGATAATAAGTTCCTACTTCTTTTTTACACTTCACACAGAGGGCGGAGATCTGAGGACTCATTTTGTTTAAAAATTGTGGTGTTCGCTGAAGTCTATGTAATATTCTGTATTGACTCTCTTTGAGTCGATTACATGTAAAGATTTTTCTAGCTGAAACAAAGGTACCTGACCATGCCTCAGTGCTAAATTCAATCTCCAAGTCCCTTTCCCATAATTCCCTAGTTCTCTCAACCCTATCACAATTAATAGGATGTAATTTGTCATAAAAAAGGGAAATTATTTTTCTGTCGTTGAGCGCATTTAAATTAAAATTGAGAAGAAAACTTTCAGTTGAACTCAACAATGGTTGATCAGTGGGGATAATGAGATCTGATTGGACAAAATGTCTAACTTGGAGAAAACCAAAGAAGTGGCTGTTTGGTATTCTGTATTTGGTCTTGAGTTGATTGAATGACATAAAATCACCATTTTGAAATAAATCAGCTACAAATCTTAGACCCTTTGAATACCAGTCATTGAAAATACTTTTCCCTATACCTGGAGAGAAGGCTTTATTTTGAGTCAGAGGTTTTAATGCTGATGAGAAACCTCTTCGGCCAATGTGTTTAGTAATATCTCTCCAGATTCTAAGCGTGCTAAACATGACAGCGTTGTTTTTAACATCTGCTGGCAGTTCGCCAGCGTCAGTTGAGAGGAGACTGAAAGGAGAGAGAGGGGAACAGCACCATGAATCTGTTAGAGGCTAGAGAAAGTTAGGAAGTGCTTGACCCCCCCTGTCTATTGGCCACTGTAAGGTCTTCATCTTTAGCCTAGATTTCTTGCCATGCCATATAAACTTTGAAAGAGATCTTTCGATATCCACAATAACTCTTCTATTGATCTTAAGTGGCAGCATTTGCATTGGGTACAACATCCTGGGAAGTACATTCATCTTAACCAAGCTTATTCTACCCATCCATGACAGAGGAAGATCAAACCATCTATTGAGGTCATTTTTAACTGCTTTCAAAGTTGGAATAAAATTTAATTTATACAATTCTTTTATGTCTGCTGATACTCTAATCCCCAGATAGGTAAAGCCTGAAATTGACCATCTGAACGGAAAATTAACAAGGGTATCCGGGACACCAAAGTCTCCGAGAGGCAAGGCCTCTGATTTGTCATAATTAATTTTGTAACCTGAAACTTGGCCAAATTGACTTATAATCGATTCCAATACCGGTATGGAGCTCTCTGGATTAGTAATAAACAACAATATATCATCAGCATAGAGCAAGATCCTGTATTCTGTGTCTCCCAATGTGACACCAGAAAAACAACGGTGGGTTCTAATGGCCTCTGCGAGAGGCTCAAGCACAAGTGCGAATAAAAGCGGCGAAAGGGGACAGCCCTGCGTGTGCCTCTATTCAGAGGGAACATCTCAGACACTGAACCATTTACCAGAACTCTTGCAGACGGAGATCTATAAAGGAGCTTAACCCATGTAGTGAAACTAGAACCCAAACCAAACCTGTTAAGGATATCAAATAGATACTCCCACTCCACCCGATCAAGAGCTTTTTCTGCATCCAATGAAACAGCAAGAATCCTTTTTTTTGTATTTTGTGAAAATTGTATAACATTCAGTAGCCGACGGAGATTGGAGTGGGAGTACCTACCTTTTATAAACCCTGTCTGGTCTGACCCAACCAAGATGGGCAAGACCTCCTCCAGTCTTCGAGCCAGAAGCTTGGATAATATTTTGCTATCAACTCTGAGTAAGCTTATTGGTCTATAAGAAGCACAGCTATCTCAGGATTTATCTTTTTTTTAAATCAAGGAGATGTGGGCAATATTTAGAGTTGGTGGAAGTGTTCCCCTTTCAAAAGATTCTATAAACATTTTAGTTAAAGGTCCAACCACCAACCTGGACATTTTTTTATAAAATTCAGGGCCAAACCCGTCAGGACCTGGGGCTTTTCCACTTTGTAGAGATTTAATAGTATCTAGTACTTCCTGTGTTGTGATTGGTCTGCATAGATCTTTTCTGTTTGTTTCAGAGTTGGGAGATTTATTTTATCAAAAAATTAAGTAAGTATTTTGACACTCAGAAGAGTAAAGGTTTTGGTAAAATGTTTTCATTATTTTACTTGTAACTTTGGTTTCAAAATGTTGTTTCCCCTTGAAATCTTTGAGTGATGGGATTACACAAGACCCTGCCCGGCCTTTTGCAAGACTGGCAAGGAGCCTGCCAGGTTTGTTTCCAGATTCAAATAATCTATGCTTAGCAAAAAAAATAGCTGATTCTGCTTTTTGGGTTAGAAGTTGATCTAAGGCTTCTAATTTATTTAATACAGATACGGAGGAAGAGGCTTTAAAGACTCTATCCAAGGTTTTAATTTGCTGCTCAAGCTCTAACTGTTTTGCTAGTGTATTTTCCCTCTTTGCAGCTGTATAAGAAATGATGCCCCCCCTCAGGAAAGCCTTGCCTGTTTCCCATAAAGTAGATGCAGATACATCAGGTGATTCATTAGTGAAAATAAAAAGTTCCCATTGTTTTCTAAATATGTTACAAATTCAGGATCGCTGAGAAGAGATGAATTTAGGCGCCAGTGTCTAGATAGAGGGTCATAATAAGGTGGTAGGAGTTCTATAGAAGCTAATGAATGATCCGAAAGGACACATGCATCAATAGAGCAGGATTTAGTCCTGTCAAGTGTTGATCTTGAAACAAATAAATAGTCAATTATTGAGAAAGACCGATGAGGGCGAGAGAGAAAAGTAAACTCTTTCTCTCGAGGATTATTGATTCTCCATGCATCAGATAAGCTTAGATCTAGACATAGATCCTTTGTGGCTTTTGCCATCCTGGATAGAGGTAAAGTTTTAGATGGACGGTGGTCCATTTCTGGAACCAATCCACAATTGAAATCTC